TCCTGGGTTCAGGCAATTCTCCTGCCTCAGCCTCCTGAGTAGCTGGGATTACAGGCATGTACCACCATGCCCAGCTAATTTTTTGTATTTTTAGTAGAGATGGGGTTTCACCATGTTGACCAGGATGGTCTCGATCTCTTGACCTCGTGATCCACCCGCCTTGGCCTCCCAAAGTGCTGGGATTACAGGCGTGAGCCACCGCGCCTGGCCCGAAGTTGAACTTTCTAAGAAACCAAATCTGCCTGATCTGGCCCAATCATATTATTTTCAGATTGACCTCTAGTGAGATCCTTTTAAAATTTCCTTATTATGATTTTTGGAATAACATGTTTGATAGTCTGTGAAAGCTGTAAATAGTGTGTTACTGCTATTTGTTTTTCTTCTATAAACTCTTGAGAACAACAGTGTTCTGGGTTTTAGGTTTACAGAATTAATTGACTTGACTTCACTTCGTATTTTATAAAAGCATTGGCATTGAATGTTAATGATCCTTTCCCCATTCAAAGTGCTCTTACATAAATATTTAAGAGTTAATAAACATAGTTTGTGACAGTATTCATAGTTAAGTTAGTACGTTAGTTACTGTTCTATATTGAATGCTAAACATATTCTCAGCAGTTTCTGAATGAACTATTACTAAAATTTTGTTTGAACGCTAAACTTCTATGGATAATTTTTCTCTCCCTTCTCTGGTCCTGCACTCCGTAACTGGGAACCATTATTATTATTTTATAGATCAGTTAGAAAGGGTGTCATTCTTGTATAATTGTCTTACTAGAAATGGAAGACATAGAACTAAAGAGTGTGAAATTTTTCTGTTGCTGTTTTTTTTGCATCTCTTATATTTGCATGCTATTTCATGCTTTGTTTTTCCTTTATTCCAGAATGTTCACTTAGGTTGTATGGCTCGTCTCTGACTAAATTTGCTCTGAAAAGTAGTGATGTTAATATAGATATAAAATTTCCTCCCAAGGTAAGTAATTAGAAAAGAGTCTTTCCTGTGTGGTTCTTTACTAGTATTTAGTAATTTTTATGAATTATCTTTGTAGAGAAAGAATAGAGGAATATAAAATTCTGTTTTGTATAGTGTTACCATCATGACTAAACAGTGCTTTTGGAAATTACTATTAGATTTCAGACATAGGCAGGAAAAAAGAAATAAGGGACAAGGGCAAAAGGTAGCAGAAGAGGAGAGTTGGGGAAAAAAGGGAAAAATGCTTATATTTGAACATGTTGAATAGCTATTAGTTCTGGTAAGCCGTATAGAAAGTGGTAAGAGTTTTGAAATCAGATACCTACATTCAGATCTTGGCTGTGATAAGCAAGTTGCTTGAACTTTTTGAGCTTTAGTTTTCCCATTTCTAAAACAGGAATAATAATTTTTATATTAAATGAGATAATATTAATGTATGTCAGGTGTTTTAATATAGTATCTGGTACATATGAGTACTTTTAATAAGTAGTACCTAGAGTCATTAGAACAATATTGATATTGTTCTAATATTGTTATCAGTATTAGAACAATATTGTTTATCACTGCTGACATTCTTTATTGACATATCTTTTAAAATACATCAATATTTTATGTTTTAAATTGAATTGAATAATATGTTCATGTTCAGGGAGGTTTGATTTGGGTGAAAATTTGGTGTTTTTAGTCTGATACATTTACTTTGTAATTAATATATGTTTATTAAATACTTTTTTTTTTTTGTGACAGAGCCTCACTCTGTTGCCTAGGCTGGAGTGCAGTGGTTCGATCTCAGCTCACTGCAACATTGACCTCCTGAGTTCACTGTCTCAGTCTCCCAAATAGCTGAGATTACAGGCCCGTACCACCATGCCTGGCTAACTTGTATTTTTGGTAGAGACGAGGTTTCGCCATGTTGGTCTGGCTGGTCTTGAACTCCTGACCTCAGCTCATCTGCCTGCCTTGGCCTCCCAAAGTGTTGGGATTACTGGTGTGAGCCACCACGCCAAACTTGAGTTACTCTTAAATAGCAAAAAACACGTTAAACTATTTGACAAGCTTGTTGCATAAAACAGTGTTTTACTCTAAGCCTTTTGACTAAGCTGCCAGTTGACTATATCCCTTTAAGTTTTTATCTCAACAATTTATTTTTCATAGTCATCCGTTAAACTCATTTCTTTTTTGTTTTGATGGGAAATTCCAGAACCTTTTCTTGCTTTAAGAAACCATTAATTCTAGGAGTGTTGCTGGAATAATAGTGCTACATCATTTACTAGATTCTACTTCTGTGAACGAGATTTGTTCACGTAAAAGTAAAACATGGCTGGACAAGGTGGCTCACGCCTATAATTCCTGTGCTTTGGGAGGCAAAGATAGGGGGAATGCTTGTTGCGAGAAGTTCAAGACCAGCCTGGGCAGTATAGTGAGATCCTATCTCTACCAAAAAAAAGGTATTAGCTGGCTGGGTGTGGTGGCACACACCTGTAGTCCTAACTACTTAGGATGCTGAGGCAGGAGGATTCCTTGAGCCCAGAAGTTTACATTGTAGTGAGCTATGGTCATGCCGCTACACTGCAGCCTGGGCAATCCAGAGAAACCTCATCCCCCAACAAAAAAACCAAACCACTATTCTGTTTTCATTATTTAAAACACAGAGCATGATTGTTTTTAAATGTTATTATTTTATTTTATTTTATTTTATTTTTGAGACAGAGTCTTGCTCTGTCTCCCAGGCTAGAGTGCAGTGGCCTGATCTTGGCTCACTGCAACCTCCATCTCCTGGGTTCAAGTGATTGTCCTGTCTCAGCCTTCTGAGTAGCTGAGATTATAGGTGCGCGCCACCAGGCCCGGCTAATCTTTGTATTTTTGGTAGAGATGGGTTTTCACCATGGCGGCCAGGATGGTCTCGATCTCTTCACCTCGTGATCTGCCCACCTCAGCCTCCCAAAGTGCTGGGATTACAGGCGTGAGCCACTGCGCCCGGCCTTAAATGTTATTCTTTAACGAAATTGAGTTTTTCCTAATCTTCTGCTGTCCGAACTTTGAAATTAGTATATTGATTTAGTTTGAAACTGTTTTAGATGAATCATCCAGATCTTCTGATAAAAGTACTTGGGATCTTAAAGAAAAATGGTGAGTTCTTTTTCCTTTTTTTTTTTTTTAATTTGCCTTTCTAAAGCTGCATTTAGAAATGTATGTTGTTTATGTATGGCTATCCAAGTTAAAACTAAACTGCTGGGATAGTTGAGTCATAGTATTACAAAAGTGCTTTTTCTGTCTGGATTGTCTTTGTAAACACATCAATTCATATAGGTAAAAATTTTTTAAAAATTACAAGATTCTTGAACCAGGTTCCAGGTCATATACTACAATCTACTAAATTTTCCTGGTTTTTACTTACTGTTTTTCTTATTGTAAAGTAAATACTTAAGATTAAGCTTGGCATCTGAAGCCAGACTTCCTTGGCTCAGATTTTAATTCTGCCACTTACTGGTTGTGTGTCCTTTGACAAATTATTTGTGTTAATACTTTAGCTTTCTGATCTGTAAAATGGCAATATTATATCATATATTTTTGATGAGAAAGTTGTAAGAATGAGATAGACTGAACTATAGTTTAGAAAAGTGCCTGGTATACACTAACTTCTTATTATATATTTGCTGTTGTGATTGTTATTATTACCTTAAGTTATATGAATCAAAAGTATCTGGCAAAAATATTTGCAGTGTGGCTTAGAAGAGAGAGTTTTGTTTTTGTTTGTTTGTTTTTTTTTTTTTAAAGCCGTACTCTCACATTGGCTTTAATGTGAATTCTAAATTTCTTTTTTCTTTCTGTCCACACAATCAGCTCTTATATATCAGTTTCCTGTTGGCCGTTGTCTTGGGAAAGTAGTTTTCTAGGAATGAGTTTGGTACAGTTTATCATATAAAGGTATTTTATTACAGTTTTCTTTCTTAATAAAGACTTGTTTCTAATTGCTCAAAAACTTTAAAATTTACTACAGATAAGAGGTAGGCATAGCTTTTACCTCTTCAGACTTCCTAAGTAGTATCATCCTAACACAAATATTTAATATATGCCTTTTCCACCCAGGATACATAAGTAGATCATCTTAAGTATACAGTGTAGGCTTATTAAACTCAGTCTGATTGTAAAATTGATTATTTCTTCCTTTATGTTTTTATTGTGCCTTTTACAGGTCACCTACAGAATTTGTTTATGTATTTGTGTTCCAAACCCCCTTATTGACCTTTTTGCATCTTACTCATTGTCATATTGACTCTGCATAATGAAATTTCTGACATATAGGTCTTCCACACATGTTTTTTGACTAATCGTTACAACAAGTACTACTGAGACATTTTCTTTGAATTATAAGTGATATTAATCTATCTGTTTTTATTTAGATTAGACATTAATGGCATGGGGCCTACCCTTGGAGGTATAGAGAAAAATTTCAGGGTAGAAATGTGCTTCATCCAGTGAGTCCTTCCTTAGCAGCTTTGATTAGGCAAACTCTTCATATATTAATGGAAATTTTTGCCAGCAGAATTAGGTTGCATTTACATCAATAATTTAAAAGAACTAAACTATCAAAACATGATAGGTCCTCCTTTCACAGCTCCTGTGGAACTAGCTCTCAAGAGTAACGGGTTTAACAACTTTGACTAGATTATCTACTTGGAAATATTAAAACTTTTAGGGATGTTAAAACCTTTCTTCTTAAGGTGATTATAATTTTTGGACAATATTTGGGATTGTACCTGTGGTTTGTGATATACAGCGAACAACACCAAGAGAGGTAAGAGATTCTTTTGGGTTTGTGCTCATAAGAAGAAGAGTAGATTTTCCCATAGAAGCAATGAGCATGATTTTCAGAAGGAAACTGTTACTTAATGTTTACCATAGAGTAAATATTTTAGAGATTGACATTAGCTTACTTTTTTTTTTCCTTATTAGTATTATATGTAGATGTGGAATCTGATTTTCACGCTAAAGTTCCTGTTGTGGTGTGCAGAGATCGAAAAAGGTTGGTAACAATGAAGACAAAAATATTTAACAAAACATACCCCAACAACCAAATTTGTACTGAATGATCTCTAAGAAAGTTTTTGTTTTAGATTTCTCCTTGGATGAGTATGACTAAACTAGTTTCTGTTCACTAAAAATAGCAAGTTTACCAAATGCATGTGAACAAGAAATACATAGAACAGCAGCTGAAAATAACATACTCTAGGCAGAACTTTAATTTTTTTTTTCTAAGTCATTCACCTACCCAAGAGTATTACATTTATTTATAGGCAGGTACTACTTTTCTCTAGGGATACAGACATAAAAAGGAAATAGCCTCTCTTGAGTCACTTAAACTCAGGAATTCAAGACCAGCCTGGGCAACATAGTGAGACCTTGTCTCTACAAAAAAAATAACCAGGCATGGTGGTGTGTGTGCCTGTGGTTCCAGCTACTCGGGAGGCTGAGGTGGGAGAATGGCCTGAGCCTGGGAGGTTGAGGCTGCAGTGAGCCGTGACTATGCCACTGCACTCCAGCCTGGGTCACAGAACGAGACTCTGTCTCAAAAAAAAAAAAAAAAAAAGCCTCTCTTCTCAAGGATCTCACAATCTATTTGAATTTAGTTTTTAGTTCACTTAAATTGAATGAGTTGATTTAAATTGAATAAACTCAAGATCAATCTTAAATTGAAGACTGGTCTTGCCTTTCTAGTTAGATGTCTATAAGACTAAGAGAGCAAAGTGCCTTTGAAAGAGAAAACTAAATCCTATTTGAAAATAGTATGGAGACATGGAAACAATACAGAAATGATATTCTTTTATTGATTATTAACTTGTATTTCTTATTTATTAAGATCAAGGTATTTTCTTATTCAAAGCTAGATGAGTCTATGGCAATATAGTTCAGATTTCTTATTTTCTAAACTAGAAAATTGAGACCTGGAGTGGTTAATCAGTTTGTCCAAAGTTACATCATTCAGCGGAAAACTATAGTTGGAATAGAGGCAATATTACATGTAGTGGTGTTTCTTTTGTTTTTTTACCACATTGCATTAAATTGCCTCTGTGTGAAAACCTCAGATTTATTCTTTAAGTTAGATGATATTTTCACTTACACAGAAGCATAACTTGTGGGTTAATCTGCAAATCCTGTCTGATCTTTATTCTGAAAATAACATATTAGCACAACTGTGAAAGTTTGCATAAGAAAAACTAGAGTCAAGAAGTATAGCCAGTCAATTCAGTATTCCTTTTTTGTTCTTATGTACAAAGCAAGAGGAATGAACCAGGAAATTACTTTGTACCATTTGACATTGAAGAGATCAGTGCCCTGTCTCTCATGTGTATCAGTTTTGGTAATTCATAACGCTGCTTTTGAAAATAATTTCTTATGACCTTAAATACTAAGTGAGGTTGAAATTTATTTCTGAAGTACAGATGAACGTTAAAAACTTCTTTCTTTAATTTGTATGGAACTTTAGTAATGGAATGACATGTAGTTTTTAGTTAGCTCTAAATTTTTACAAACATTTGTTTTTATTAGGACTTTTAAGGTACTATATTAAAATATGGTAACTAGAAGGAGTAGCCACAGGATTTGAAGTATTCTGTTTTTAAAGGCGTTAATAACAATGAAATTTGTTTCTTTCTTATTCACAGTGGTTTACTTTGTAGAGTGAGTGCAGGAAATGACATGGCATGTCTCACTACTGATTTACTTACTGCTCTTGGCAAAATGGAACCTGTCTTTATTCCATTGGTGTTAGCCTTTCGCTACTGGGCTAAGGTAAGTGGAAGAAAGGAAAAATACTTATTTATTTATATTTTTAGAAGGCAAAGCATTTAATCTTCAAAATTAGGCCTTTCCTTGTACTGACATGTAACATTAATCATAACATGTGGAACAAAATAGTTTTCTGTGCTAGCCAGAAAGTGGTGTGGCAGGTTCTAATTTATGGACATAAATATAAAGTTTTATAGGCATATACTTATTGATATATTTTAGAATTTTTGTCATGCTTTATTCTCCTTTTACATACTATAGAAATGTTCTCTTTCATATCAGCATATGAGGGTCAAGTTTTCACTCCCATAAGTGAAACCTCTTATGTTTTCATTCTTATTATAAGTGAAACTTACAATAAGTGAAACTTTCACTCTTACTAAAACTTGTAAGGTTTTAAGATGTGGTATATACGTTAAGGTTCTTTTGTTGGCATATTTTTTCCCCCAGTGTCTAAGAATGCTATTCTCTTTCCTGTAAATCATTGATAACATGCACCAGTTTCTGATTGGGCAACTACTGAGGATTATTCGAGGTTTCCTAAATTAGAATTAATTTATACCTCTAAAGGTTGAAGTTGCCCTGTGTTTATTTCTTTGGTGTGGTGATAGGAGTGGTTAATTAGCAGTATCAGCCCAAATGACCAGAAAGAGATTTTAGCTTTTTGTTTGTGTGTTCCTGCCCTATCAGTAGAATATTCATCACTTGTTAGACTGGTGATGAATAAATTCTCAGTTGTATACAAAGAAAACTGACGAAGGGAATGGTGTTAGAGTGATAACTTCATAGCAAAAATAGAGACTCTTTGGAATTTTTTATTGGGACTCTGTTTAAAGAATTGCCCCCATGCTTGGGGCAACACCAGCTGGCTGAGTACGGAAGTCAGAAAGCCTGTATACATAAGGCCTTTCTATTTGCTGTTTCCCTCATCTAGAATGTTCTTACCTTAGGTATCTAGAATGCTTCACTCTTTTACTTTTATCAAGTTTATGATCACATTGATTACCACCTGTCATACATAAATTTGTTTGCAGTCTATTCTGTGAAATTATAAACTCTTTGAGGGCAGGGATTTTAATGTTTTATTTATTCAGTGCTGATTCCTACTTCCACTTATTTTACTGTATCATCACATAGTAGGCACTCAGTAAATATTTGATGAATAAATGACCTAGTTTCTTCAGAAAGGAGTTTGTTTTGTTTTGTAAATAGAGATGGGGGTCTCATGATGTTGCCTATGCTGGTTTTGAGCTTCTAGGCTCAAGCAATCCTAGAAGTCAAGTAAAGAAGTCCTCAATTCTCTCAGAGTGTGAAGCACTGTGCCTGGCCAGAAAGGAGATTTTTAACCCATGGAAGTGAACGGAGGCAGTAAAATAGGTTCAGGAAGGGTGACTACTTCCTCTCATTAATCTTATACTGTATGCTTAGAATACTATAGGAAATCAGTGCTATGAAGTAGAGTAAACCAATTCCAGCTCTAGTTTTTTTGCTAAGTGTTTTTACTTTTGAGATGGCGTCTCTGACATCCAGGCTGGAGTGCAGTGATGCGATTATGGCTCACAGTAGTCTCAACCTCCCAGGTTCAAGTGGTCCTCTCTCTACAGCCTTCCTAAGTAGCTGGGACCACAGGCATGCGCCACCTTGCCTGTCTAATTTTTAAATTTTTTTTGTAGAGGCGGGGTCTCATTTTGTTGCCCAGGCTTGTCTTCAACTCCAGGGCTCAAACGATCCTCCCACCTTGGCCTCCCAAAGCACTGGGATTATAGGTGTGAGCCACAGCACCCGGCTTTGCTAAGTCTTTGAGCAAGGTACTTCACCTATCTGAGTTTCAATTTTTTTCACCTGGAGAGAATATTTTGGTAATATTATTAGATAATTCACGAGAATACACTTCAAGCTCTAAAATACTCCAGAAATTTAAAGGATAATGGAACACACAGCTGCTGCTTTGTTGGTGCTTTTAAATTAAGCTCTAATTTTTGGGGGGGTCATAAAGTCATGTCAGTTTTCTCCCAGACATTCTATTCAATAAAATAAATAGTCTGTGTTAGAAGATTATAAATGATACTCAAATATGTTATTTTTATTTTGGAAAAAAATGTGGCCTATAAACATTGTTTCCTAAAGTGACTCTTGGAAAAAGTTGCTCATGGTGTATTAGTACTTGATCCATATTGATTCTAAATATGCCACTCAATGGACACTGAAACATATATTACAAAAACTGATTGTAGAGTGGTTCCTTTCTGTTTCCAACAGAATACTGTGCCTCTCATTTTTGTCATTTGTGTTAGTTGCAAAGAAAGTTTTTTCATGGTATTGATTTTCTTAATTTTTTTTTTTTTTTTTTTGAGACGGAGTTTCCCTCTTGTTACCCAGGCTGGAGTGCAATGGCGCGATCTCGGCTCACCGCAACCTCCGCCTCCCGGGTTCAGGCAATTCTCCAGCCTCCTGAGTCGCTGGGATTACAGGCACGCGCCACCATGCCCAGCTAATTTTTTTTTTAATAGAGACGGGGTTTCACCATGTTGACCAGGATGGTCTCGATCTCTTGACCTCGTGATCCACCCACCTCGGCCTCCCACAGTGCTGGGATTACAGGCTTGAGCCACCGCGCCCGGCCTGATTTTCTTAATTTTTAATAAGAAAATTCCTAGTATCTTTTTCTTCTGAGGATTTTTAAAAATAGGTTTGTTTTTCTTGAAGTTTTAAGCCATATTGTACATTATCTAGTTAAGCACACATTTCTCCATATTTTTCCATGATTTGGGGCTCAGGACAATTGTAGTATATAATTTATTCTTATAACTGATACCATGAGATTGCAGTTGATGATTCTCTGGCTCTCTCTTGAGCAGTTACAGTCTTTGCATTTTAGTAATAGGAAATAGTTTTCTAGATAAAGCTTATTAATTCTAGGTGGCAGAACTCTGTAGCCCCATCATCAGTACATTATTATTAGTCAAGTTATCTGACTTAGAGCCACTTTTTGTAGTAAATATAAGAATTCCATTTTAGCAGTGTTTGACATCTAAAACTGGTTTTAAGAGCTCTCTCTTAAACTGCCTTAATCTTGTTCATCTGTGAGATGTCTGGTAATGTTAGCAGAATACATTGACAGTTCTTTATAGTTGCAAAGGAATTTTTGGTTAAGTCAACTTATTCATTAGGCAGTTTACCCTTGTCTTAGTATTTTGGATAAGTGATAGTTTATTCTAGCAAAATGTTTCAGACTCCTTTTGACAAGTGTTTTTAGTCATCTTTTATTTTGAGTTGTAATCTTAAATGTACCAAAACATTATACTACAGTATAATTACTCCATATTATATTATTATTATCCAAAATCTTCATTGTCTACAGAAGAAAACAAATAACAATTTAAAAACCAATCCAGCCTATCCAGTATAGACCAATCTTACATAGATGCTACACTCTAAATGAAATATAAGCAAATGAAATATATCCATGTATCAAAGGTTAAAATGCCATGATTATACATGATTTACTTCAAGATTGTAAGAATGATTTAATGTAGGAAGTCTGTTCACATAATTTGTTATATTAACAAATGAAGCAGAAAAAAAAAATCCTAGATGCTGAAAGGGCATGTTCTCCCTAACAGAAACTTTTACGTCAACTAGAAATGAAAGTTAATTATGAAAACCATTTATTAAAAAACACACAAAAAACAAAGCCAAAACAATAAGAAACATCATTTAAGCCGTATATATTAAGATGAAGAATATTGCAGAGATGTTCACCACTGATGTTGTACATTGTTTTGGGATTTTAGGAAATGCAATTAGAAAATGAAATAATTGAATGTAAATATTGGAAAAATGATAAAAATTATCTCTTTGTGCTAATAATATGATTGTATACTTAGAACACCCTAGGAAAAGACTACTGGGATTAATAAGAGAATTTAGTAAGATAACTAAATACAAGATAAATATACAAAAGTCAGTGGCCATTCTCTGCCATAAAAATAACCTCTTAGAATGGAAATGGGGACAAATACTTACCTTCATGACAGTAACATAAATTATAAAACACTAAGGAAGAGATTTAATAAGTTATATATAAGAAGAAATTATATTGAAAGATGAAAGCAAAATCTGAACGAATCCATCCCTTCAGCAAACATTTGCTAAATGTGTTCTGTGTTTCAGATACTGTTCTAGAGGCTGGGAACATCTAATAGGACATACAGAGTCTGGCTTTCATGGTGCATACATACTTCTGGAAGAGTCAGACAATAAAGAAATTATATAAATAATAATATCTGCTAGAGTTTAGTACTAAACTCTAAAATGAAATGATAGAATGAATGATACTACTCTGAATGGTCAGGGAAAGACTCTGAAGAAATGGTATTTAAACCCATACAAGTAATAGCTAGCTGCATGAAAATCTGATGGAAAAGTCTCCAAGGGACAACTAGGCCAAAGCTTTCAAAGTGGGAATGAACTCAAGGAGGGGCAAAAAGGAAGGCTAGAGTGACTGTAAAACTGCTTTAATCAAGAGTATGCCATTGGCATAGGAATAGAAAAATAGATACGTGGAACAGAATAGAATGCTCAAATGATCTAGTGTATAGGAGATTTTATTAAATAGTGCTTTCACAACTGTATCTTACAGGAAGAAAATAATGTTGGACTCTAAGCAGACTAAATGCAAAAATAAATTTTACTTAAATGAAAATTTAAAATTTTAGAAGAAAAATGTTTGAGTATGTGTATGTAAATAATGATATGGGAAGCTTTTTACTATGATAGGATACCTAGAAGCTGTGTAGTTGTCCTCAGTATCCATAGGGGGATTAGTTCCAAGACCCCCATGGGTACTAAAATTTGAGGGTGCTCAAGTCCCTCATACAAATTGTGTGTTATTTGTATCTAACCTTCATATAGATGCCAACATACTTTAAATCATCACTAGATTGCTTATAATATCTAATACAATATAAATGCTCTGTAAATAGCTGTTATACTATATTGTTTTTTAATTTGCATTTTTTATTATATTGCTATTTTTAATTTTTTTAATGTAAAATTTTAATTTTTTTCAGAGAGTCTCACTCTGTTGCCCAGGCTGGGGTGTGGTGGCACCATCATAGCTCACTGTAACCTGGGTTCAAAGGATCCTCCTGCCTCAGTTTCCTGAGTAGCTGGGACTACTAGTGTGTGCCACCGTACCTGGCATTTTTTGGTTTTGTTTTGTTTTAAAGAGATGAGGCCTTTGCACCTGGCCTTTTACAAATTTTTAAATTATATATATTTTTAGAGATGGAGGGCTTGCTATGTTGTCCAGGGTGGACTCAAACTGCTGGGCTCAAGCAATCCTCTGCCTCAGCCTCTATAGTATATTGTAGCTAGCTGGGACTACATCAGTTGCAGGTGATATGTGTGCGTCACCACACCTTGCTATATGTAAATATAGATAGGGTCTCACTGTCACCCAGGCTGCAGTGCAGTGGCAGGATCTCAGCTCACTGCAACTTCCACCTCCCAGGTTCAAGTGATTCTCCTGCCTTGGCCTCCCGAGTAGCTGAGATTACAGGTGCCTTCCACTCGGCATGGCTAATTTTTGTATTTTTAGTATAGATAGAGTTTCACTATGTTGGCCAGGCTGTACTCGAACTCCTGACCTTAAGTGATCCACCCGCTTTGCCTCCCAAAGTGCTGGGATTACATGCGTGAGTCACCATGTCCAGCCTAAAAAATATTTTCAATCCGTAGTTGATTGAATCTGCAGATGCAGAATGCATTGATATGGAGGGCTGACTGTTTGAATTGAGCATATTTAAAAATTAAAGCATAGTAAAAATTAAAAAAATTTATATGGTAAAAGATATAATAAATAATATCAAAAGAAAAAAGTAGATTGGGAAAAATAAGATCTTTCAAATGCATCTTTATGTATTAGACATAAAGGGTTATTATCTATAATTATAGCTCTTATAAATTGATAAGTATTGCATGAAAGTAGAAAAACTTGCAAAACATTTAATAGGCAACTTTGAAAAGAGTAAATTTCAAATGGTTAAACATATACAGATTTCATAATCTCTTTAGGGTTAAGGACATGCAAATTAAAGTAACTATCGGATATTAAATTTCACCCATCCCACTGAAAATTGTTTTTTAAGTGATAATACCTAGTGTTGGAAGAGGAGTATGTACACTGATAGGTTGCTGCTGGAAAATACAAACTTTGTGGTGATTTTGGAAAAACAATCTTACAGCATATTTAAGGATTAAATATATCACTCATCTTTTAATTTAACAAACATTCCTAGGAATACAGTTCATAGAAATAAGCACCAGTACTTATGAAATATGTATAAGGATAAATGCTACAGCATTGTTTAAGGTGGCAAAAACTGGGAACAAAATATGAATGTCCTTGAATGGGGGAACTATTGTGTGACCATCCATATCATAGACTGTAATTTAAGCATTTAAAAGAATGTGTTGGCTGGGCATGGTGGCTCATGCCTATGAATACCCAGCACTTTGGGAGGGTGAGGCGGGGAGATCATTTGAGCCCAAGGATTCGAAACCAGCCTGGGCAACATAGGGAAACCCCTTGTCTACAAAATAAAAAAATTAGCTGAGCATGGTCGTGTATGCCTGTGGTCCCAGCTAAGTGGAAGGATCACTTGAGCCTGGGAGGTTGAGGCTGTAGTGAGCCATGATCATGTCTCTGCACTGCAGCCTAGGCTACAGAACAAGACCCTGTCTCAAAAATAACGTAATGTGTTGGATTTTGCTAATTGACTTAAAGGGGCTTTCTTGATGTATTGTTAAGGGAGAAGAGTAATATACAGAGAGATGTCTATTAAAATAATGATGAAAAACTTAAACTTCTCCCTATATGTATATAGGAAATAGAAATGTATGTGTATTTATATATGAGTATAGAAAAAGGCCTAGAAAGAATACACAGAAGGTTGTTAATTGAAGTAGAAGTAGAGGCAAGATAAGGAGAAAATATTTTAAAAATGTGTCCACAGTAAAATAACTACATATAACATTACTCCTTTTGACAAAAATATGTATCTTTGTATGCATTTAAAAAAGAATGAAAAAACGGTCAACATTTTAATGATTATTTTAGAGTGATGATATTTCAAGTTATTCCTTATATTTTTCATTGTCATTTGAACTTTTTACAGTGATTAGGGTAGGAAAAAACAAGGTACTTTTATCATGAAAATTAAGAAAGCTAAATGGTAGTACTTTTTTCCCCTTCATTTTGCAGTTGTGCTATATTGACTCCCAAACTGATGGTGGAATCCCTTCTTACTGTTTTGCTTTAATGGTGATGTTTTTTCTACAACAGAGAAAACCCCCTCTTCTTCCTTGCTTACTTGGAAGTTGGGTAAGCATGAGTTTGTTATACATATGTGCATGTGTGTGTATATATATATATATGTACATATATATATATATATGTATATATATATATATAGTTTGCTCTTGCAGAGAGTTCTGCTCAAACATTTTAAGCTGGAATTCTGGTTTGTCTGTTTGTCCATCTTTTTTTTTTTTTAAATAATTTTTCCACTACCAATTTGGAATGCCTTTTTATATAGATTGAAGGCTTTGACCCAAAAAGAATGGATGACTTTCAGCTGAAGGGCATAGTAGAAGAGAAGTTTGTGAAGTGGGAGTATAATTCAAGTAGTGCAACTGAGAAAAACTCAATTGCTGAGGAAAACAAAGCTAAGGCAGACCAACCAAAAGATGATACCAAGAAGACAGAAACAGACAACCAAAGTAATGCCATGAAGGAAAAACATGGCAAAGTAAGCCTTTTTATTTTTGTTTTTGGCTTTTCTATCTGTAGAATTTGTAATGCCTTCGATTGAAGCTATTTTAATTGTAGATTGACTGACCTTGAGCAAGCCTCTTGGCCTCATTTTCCTCATCTATAAAGTGAGGGGTTGATCTGGTTTAGTTTTTTAATACCAAGATTCTCTAATGAATTTATACCTTGTTTTGGAAAACTTGTATTGTTTGAGTCATGTCAAGATAAATCTGTCATTTTCATCTAGACAAGGAAAATTTCCTTTAGGAGTTGGGCTCTGACCAGACTTCAGCGTATGGAAATGTTGTTGCCAGATTGGGTGGAGAAATAAAGGCCCTGCTGTGCTCTATGAGAGGGTAGCTTTGCTTGTTTGATTATTCAGCATTCATTTATTAAGGACCTGCTATGTGGCAGGCATTATCTTGAGTGCCAGAGAACGAGAGATGAACATACATGGATTATGTCCTCCAGAAACTTGTAGTCTTCTAAGTGGACAGATGCATTATTACAGAAATCTGAATATTTCTGAAATCATTGTTCTACTATACTGAGTTATTTGTAGTTTCCTGATATGCTTGCCTATTATATTCAGCTCGTCCACTTTCCTGGACTACCGTATGCTGTCCCCTCAGACCACTAATACTGCCAGCCAATGATCTTGCTTATTACTTCACTAAGAACTTCCCATATTCTTATCTAAAGTCATTTTCTTCACTTGTATGTTCAGTCTCATCTCTTCTTGTCTTTTCCAGAACATTACCCTAGCAATTATTCCCTCGTAAATTACCAGTTTTTTGTTCCCTACAAAACCAAACATGCTGTTATTCTCCCAGTATAAAAACAATCTGACATCACTTCCCCTCCAACCTATTCCTTTGCTCCCTTTTGCAGTAAAACTTCTTAAAGAATTGTTGGTATTTACTATTTTTGATTTCTCTGTTAGCCCCTTAACTCACAGTAGTCAGGCTTTGATGTCACCCCTTCAGTTTGTCAAAACTTGTATCATCAGTGTCAGTAACCTCCACATTACTAAATTCAATGGTCATTTCTCAGTTTCTGTCGTTTTTGATTTATTAGCAACATTTGCCAGTTAATTACTTCCCTCTGAAAATTTTACTCACTTGACTTTGAGGACACTGAACCTGTGGCTGGTTATTCCTTCTCGGTCTCCTTTGCTGGTTTCTTTTTTCCTCTCTAATTTCTTAAAGTTGAAGTGTTATAGTTTATGATCCTCTTTTTCTTGTGTATGTACATTCCCTTGGTAATCTCATCTAATTCTGTGGATTTTAAGTACTGTCTATATGATGATCACTCTCAAATTTAAATCTCCAGCCAGACCTCTCTCCTGACCTCCATAGTTGTAGAACCAACTGCCCATTTACTGTTTCTGCTTAGATATCTAATAGATGTCTTAAACTTAATGTGTCTAAACTGAATTCCTGATTCTACCCTCAAACTTGCCCCACACTTAGTTTTTCTAACTTACTTGGTTGCACTGCATCCTTTCAGTGTCTCAATTAACTGAAAGTATGCTCCTTTCAGTTAACCTTGGAGTCATCCTTTACTCCTTTTTTATACCCCGTAAGTTCTGTCATCTCTATTAAATATGCATCCAAATTTGATTACCTTTCATTACCTCCACTGTTACCATCCTGGTCCTCGCCACCATCGTCTCTGGCCTGGAATGCTGTTATAGCCTCCCAACAGGTTTCCCTGTGTCTACCTTTTCCTTTTATAGTCTGTTCTTAACAATCAGAATAATTCTTCTGAAACTTAAGTCAGATCATGCTCTTTCCTCTCCTCACCATCAAATGCTTCAGTTGTTCCTCATTTCATTTAGATAACAAGCCAAACAGTCTTTCCTGGCTATCTCCTTGCTTTCCTCTTCTACTCTTTGTCTCACTCTGTCTTGGTCTCATTCTTTTTTAAAGCTGGTCTCATTCTTTGTGTGTTTGCTCTGTTTCCCATTCCTATAGCACTTTTCCCTTTTCTTAAACAATATCTTCTCAATAAGTCTTATCCTGACCACTCTGTTAAACACTGTAACCTTCTCCTGCTTCCACACTCCCACCCTTTTTAGTGTACTCAACTCTTTTTTTCTATAGTAGGTATCTTCTTTAAAGTTACATTGTAATTTACTTATTAAATATGTTTGTTGTCTTTCCATAGAAAGTAGGCTCCATGAAGGCAAGGATCTTTGGGTTTTTTTCCCCCACAAAGACATATCCCAAGTGCCTAGAACACTGTCTTGCACATAGTAGGCACTCAGTGAATTGTTGTAGAACTGAATGTGAGAATGACTGTTTCATGTGTTTATGCAGCCTGGTGGTTACCTTCAGCCAGGTTTCATCTAGCTAATCTTTGGAATTCAGGTGTTACCTCTTCTGTTATGATCCCCATGTTTTAGAGGCCCATCTTAGCATGTATCCTTTACTATAATTGTTAAAGTGTCTCTCCCCCTCCGAATAGTCTATGAAGTAGGACCCTCCCTTATTTACATGGCAGTATAGTATAGTGATTCACGGCATGGACCCAGCAGGCAGGTTGTCTTGAGTCAAATCCTCACCCTATAGTGTCTACTTCATGGAATAGTTAGAATTAATTATTCATATATGTGCAGCTTTTAGAAGAGTGAATGGTGCATGGTAAGCATTATGTATAAGTGTGAACTTTCATTATTTTATTATATTCCCAATAATGTCAGAGACATAGTAGGTTCTAAAAAAATGTTTGCTGAATGAAGAAGGAATTAGTTTTTTTGAAAGCCAGGGCGTTTACTTATATTTTAAAAGTAATTATTGGAAAAAGGAGTTGTAGTAGTTGTTATACAGTGGTTTGCGGCCTTGGCTGCATATGAAAATTACTTTAGGGAGCTTTAAAAATGTCTGCCTAGGCTGGATAGCCTATTCAGTTAAATCATAATCTTGGGAGCGGTATGGAAGGTGGGGGTGGTGTGGAATTCAGATATTAGTATATTTTACTACTACCCACATGATTCTAATGTGCAGCCAAGGTTGAGAATCACTGGTTAAGAGGAAAGAATGCAGAATTCCTAGTAGTCAGCAAACTGGGACTTTGTTCCCAGCTTTGCTTCCAACTGACTGTTTTTGGCAAATTACTCCTTCATGCCTCAGTTTTTGAAAACATGATCTCCAGGGTCTTCTCTAACTGAAAATTTGTTGATTTTATAGTTTTGTTAAGCTTAAATGAAAAGTATTTTTTCTTTTCCAGTCTCCTTTAACATTGGAAACACCAAATCAGGTATCCTTGGGACAGTTATGGTTAGAGCTGCTAAAATTTTACACACTGGAATTTGCTTTGGAGGAATATGTCGTATGTGTACGGATACGAGATATTTTAACAAGAGAAAATAAAAACTGGCCTAAAAGGCGAATAGCCATTGAAGGTGAGATGAAATGATGTATTTCATTTGGAGATTATTTTTTGTGTGCCACTCATTATCTAATTCAGTGTTATAAATAATCCTTTGGCTTTATAGTACTATATATATGTCACCAGATTGTCATTTTTTCATTTTTAATTTTTTTGGAGACAGGGTCTCGCTCTGTTGCCCAGGCAGGAGTACAGTCATAGGATCATGGCTCACTGCAACCTCAAACTCCTGGGCTCAAGGGATTTTCCTATCTCAGTCTTTTGAGTAGCTAGGACTATAGACTTCTGTGTTGTTATGCCCGGCTAATTTTTTTTATTTTTTGTGGGGATGGGGTTTCACTGTGTTGCCCAGGCTGGTCTGGAACTCTTGGCCTCAAGTGATCCTCCCGCATTGGCCTCCCAAAGTGCTGGGATTTTAGGCATGAGCCACCACACACAGCCCCCATTATTTATTTAGATTCTTTGTCAAGTCTGTTATAGTTTTATAGAATTAGTATTTATTTGAAAGTTTTTGCTTATATATGGTTAAGGTCAGTAATTAGCATTTTAAAATTTTGAACATTTTATTTTTTACATATGCAAACTTGTAAAAATACAGAAAAATGTAAGTTATGAATACTGTAAGATCTTTTTGAATAAATTTGTGCCATAAGATGATGAGAAAGTTTTTATTGTCTTCTAAAGTACCTCACCTAATAAATGTGGCTTAGAGCTAAAGGGGAAAAATAAAAATTGATGTTGACAAAGCTTCATATCAGATCCCAAGACCATTAAGATCTTTGGAGATACAGAAAATAATAGAGTGGCTCCTAAATTCTTAATCAAAAATTTGAATTTCACAGCATTTCACTTGCCTTTTATAGGTAAGAAACTGAATTTATGTCCATTTTAGTCTGCTGAGCCTACACATTGTTCACTTCCCTCACTCCTGCTGGCCTTCTCCACTGGGAGTTCAACTCAGAAATATTCTGAAATATTCATGCAAACATTTACACACATCTTGTACTCTCTTATATATAATAAATAAAGGAGCTCTGAAGTCTTCCAGCCGTAAATTATCTATTTTTTTTTTGTTTCTTCCCCCGCCCTTTTTCATTTTCTTTGGGAAGTGAGGAAGAAACCAGAAAAAGCTTATTAAAGCCTATGGATTTAAATAGCAGCAAAAAGTAACAGACACCCCAACTTTAACAGTTTGAAGCCTAGCCTCTTAATACCAAAAGATTTTCAGTAGTAGGGAGCATATGTATTGTCTTTTTGGTGGCACTGTTCTTTTTTCCTGGGGCTTACCTATATTTAAGGCTTATAGATATTTTCAGAAACTTGTTTTGTTATTAATAATGAGGATGCTGTTGTTGCAAGACTTTGCAGGGTAGTCATTTTTGACTGGATCAAAGTTTAAATTTTTGTTTAATTTTTTTTTGGTCTCTTTTTTTTACTTTTTTGTTCTTTTCTCTCTTCCTACTACTTTGATTTACTTTTTTTATCTCACTAAAGTTAAATCTAAAAATTAGTTTGTTTTCAAGTTGAAGCCTCGAAAGTTTTAGGTTTGTTTACTTGTTTAAATTGCAAAGAACATAAACTATATTAAAGAGCACTATGAGCTGAGCACAGTGGCTCACACCTGTAATCCCAGCACTTTGGGAGGCTGAAGCAGGCAGATCACCTGAGATCAGGAGTTCAAGACCAGTCTAGCCAACATGGTGAAACCCTGCCTCTACTAAAAATATAAAGATTAGCTGGGTGTGGTAGCGTATGCCTGTAGTCCCAGCTACTTGGGAGGTTCAGACAGGAAAATCACTTGAATCCGACAGACGGAGGTTGCAGTGAGCCAAGTTCGTGCCACTGCACTTCAACTTCAGGGACAGAGCGAGACTATCTCAAAAGAAAAAAAAATACTATAACAAGAGGTGAAAATTGTTAATGGATCCTGGAGCTTGGAAATTTTTATTCAGTGATAGGGTAGAGTGAGGTATGTCAGCATAAATTCTTTTTCCATAATTTCATCATTGAAACTTTATAATTAATGAATTGGCCTTCTTAGCCATCCCCTTATTAGTTACCTTATTATTAGTCTGGTTTCTTTTTCCTTTTGTTTTTTTATTGTATGAGAGAAAGAAAGGGAAAAAATGTTGCAGTTGTATTTCCCCCATTTTCAGGAGCTTTCTTTGGGACCCTAGCTTAGAAAAAAACCCTTGGGAAAATATCTTCTGCCTATATTGCATCAGTTAAGATATACTTGTATGAGCTTGGAAATGTAGTTTGTTAGTAGATACTTGGCTATTTACCATTTTCTCTTTTGCTAGATCCATTTTCAGTCAAGAGGAATGTTGCACGGAGCTTAAACAGCCAGCTGGTTTACGAATATGTTGTGGAGAGATTTAGGGCAGCTTATCGGTATTTTGCCTGTCCTCAGAGGAAGGGTGGAAATAAGTCTACAGTGGACTTCAAGAAAAGAGAGAAGGGGAAAATAAGCAATAAGAAACCAGTTAAGTCTAACAACGTGGCAACCAACAGTTGCATTCTGCTTGGGGAAAGCACAGAAAAAAAAAATGCAGAAAGAGAGCAACCTGTTAAATATGATGAAATGGAATGTACATCACAGAGATGTATTATTGACAACAACAATTTGTTGGTAAATGAACTAGATTTTGCTGACCGTGAACAGGAATCTTCATCTCTTTCTGCCAGCAAAAGCAGTGAATTAGAGCCAAAATCAGTTAAGAAACAAGATCATTTAGCGCTTTCAGAAACTTGTTTAAAAACAGAGCTCAGCCAATGTAATTGCATTCATTTGTCTAAGTCCCCTGACCCAGATAAATCTACTGGAACAGACTGCAGGTCAAATTTAGAAACAGAGAGTTCACATCAGAGTGTGTGCACCGACATACCTGCTACCTCTTGCAACTGCAAAGCTACAGAAGATGCTTCTGACCTTAATGATGACGATAACTTCTCCACCCAGGAATTATATTATGTGTTTGATAAATTTATTTTAACCTCTGGCAAGGTAGGATACAGTTTGTTAACAATCTATAAGGTTTTGTGGTTGTTTTATGAATATGTATTTTTTTTTTTTTAGATTTAGAAATGTAAAAATAGCTCATATAGTGGTGACTGTTGTTTTGGAATGATATTTTGATATGTATTTTACCTTTTGTGTTTTTAGTATAGTTGCCTTTAAATAATGTATAGAAAGCATTGAGATTTCAGCATTCTATTACCAGTTGGTTTCCTTTACATCTGCACATATGAAAGAATTCATCTGATATTTCATGAGGATCTTAGCAAAGGCAGCATACATTTTAAATGTTGCTTATTTTGTATTTATTTTTCCTTCAGCAAAAGCCACATTCAAGGTTTTTTATTTTTATTTTTTTGGAGACAGTTTCCCTCTGTTTCTACCTCCCGGGTTCAAGTGATTGTCCTGCCTCAGCCTGAGTAGCTGGGACTACAGGCGTATGCCATCATGCCTGACTAACTTTTTGTATTTTTAGTAGAGACGGGGTTTCACCATGTTAGCCAGGTTGGTCTTGATCTCCTGACCTTGATCGGCTTGCCTCGGCCTCCCAAAGTCCTGTGATTACAGGCGTGAGTCACTGTACCTGGCCTCAAGCTTATTTTTATACATAAAATTTCTTTATTCTAAAATATTTGACAAGGTTTGTAATTTCTAATAATATTTTACTTTAAGGATTTTTTTAGAGGTGGGAAATAAAAGTATACTAAAGGTAGTTGAGGGAAACTAAGATTAGGAGCCAAAAAAATAAAGATTCTGTTTCTGCTACTGAGCCTCTGGATTTTGGCTTATCCTGTATGACTTACAGGAGTCCTGACCTTTCTTTTCTTTTCTTTCTTTCTTTTTTTTTGAGATGGAGTTTTGCTCTTGCTGCCCAGGCTAGAGTGCAATAGCATAATCTTGGCTCACAGCAACCTCCGCCTCCCAGGTTGAAGTGATTCTCCTGCCTCAGCCTCTCGAGTAGCTGGGATTACAGGCACATGCCACCATGCCCAACTAATTTTTGTATTTTTAGTAGAGATGGGGTTTCACCATGTTGCCCAGGCTGGTCTCGAACTCCTGACCTCTGGTGATTCGGCCGCTCAAAGTGCTGGGATTATAGGCGTGAGCCACCGCCCCTGGCCAGTCCTAACTTTCCTACTTTTGAAGCAAGATAGTACAAACTTACATTTTTTTTTTTTATTAAACAAGTTCTGGCTTTGTTGCTGAGGCTAAAGTGCAGTGGTGCAATCTCAGCCCACTGGAACATCCGCCTCCCGGACTCAAGTCATCCTCCCACCTCAGCTTCCTGACTAGCTGGGACTACAGGTGCATACCACCACATCTGGCTAATTTTTGTATTTTTTGTAGAGACGGGGTTTCGCCATGTTGTCCAAGCTGGCCTCAAACTCATAAGCTCAAGTGATGGGCCTGCCATGGCCTCCCAAATTGCTGGAATTAGAGGTGTGAGCTACTGCACCCAGCCAGATAGTCTAAACTTTAACTCATAAAGAAAGTTATTTAAAATGGAAACAACCCATTGAACAGAAAGTAAGCGGTAACTGCTTTGTGAATAAAATAAAGTTTTAGCTGAATCACATTACTTCAAGTGCATTGCACATAACTGAAATATCATTATCATTATCCACATGAAAAATGATTATACAGATTATGCATAAGCCAAGTAGAACATTAAAAAAATAAACGGAAAGTCATCTAGCCTTATCCAGGCTTATTGTTTTATCAGTAATTACTGACAAGCTTTAAGATATTTAACCTAATTACTAAATAGTATTGCCTATTTTTTTAAAAATCTGCTTTATTAAGGTATGACCAGCATTTAAAAAGCTATAAATATTCAGTGGCTACAACTAGATGTGTTTGAACATAAGTATGTGTATTCTTATCACTATCAGTGCCACAAACCTATCAACTCCAAAAGTACCCTCCTTTTTTTTTCCTTTTGTGGTTTGAGAACTTAAGATATATTCTATTAGCAAATTGAAGAATGTAATACAGTATTATTAATCTTAGGCCCTACTTTGTAGAGATCTCCAGAGCTTATTTATTTTGCATAAATGAAACTGTGTACCCTTTGACCAACACCTCCCCATTTCCTCCTCACAATAAGCAGTATTTCTTCATTCTATGTAAGTGTACATCTGTTGCATTTTATCTAGGTTGCATTATTTAGGGTACATGGACTACTGAAAGCATCAAATCAATGGCAGGTTCTTTAGAAAAACTTAATTATGTAACTTTAATGTTCATGTCTTACGCTTTATACTTTTTTCCCTGGAAACTTAAGGTAAGTGCTGTTTCTCCAGTTTTCATTTTTACTATTTAAAGAGTTTCCTGGCCAGGTGTAGTGGCTCACGCCTGTAATCCAAGTACTTTGGAGGCCAAGGCGGGCAGATCATCTGAGATCAGGAGTTCAAGACCAGCCTGACCAACATAGTGAAACCCCGTCTTAAAAAAAAAAATAAAAAAAAAAAATAATAAATAAAATTTTTTTAAATTAAAAAAAAAATAATTTCCTGCCTAAATATGTCATTTTTTAAAAAAAGCTTTGAAAAGCTGATAGAGATTCTTGTAGTACTGTTAATTAACCTACAGTGTATCATTCTTACAAAGAGAGATTTCCTGATACAATTTGTTTTACAGTTTTCCACTGTGTAGATGTCCAGGCTAACACTGGAGAAAGACACTAACTCTAGGATCTAGGCATATTAAAATAAAGAAAAGAGTATTGGTGTTTCTTAACCATATCTGTTTCATCGAGTTGGCATAAATTTTTGTGTTTTAACCACTATTTGGTGTCCATTGAAATACATTTAAAATGGCTATATAGGATTTGGATTTTATTTTGTGGCCATTAAATAAGTTACTCTTTTGTATGAAGCTAATTTATTTTTAGTGTTCAGTCTGCAGTTTGGTCTCCTGAAGCACTAATGTAATAAATTGAACCAACTAAGTGAGAGTTCTGTGATCAATTGATTCAGAAGATAGAAAATGTTTGGAGTGAAATGAAAGGTGCAACTTAAAGTTTTCTTTATAACCTACTTTGTTTGATCTCAGTAAGTTAAAAACATAATGCATATATTTTCCTTTGGGAGCTATTTGAGTTAACCCATACCTTCTGTACCTCCGGGTGTTTTCTGCATCTTCCATTTTCAGGTAAATTTAATCCTTGATGTAATTTTAATGGGGAAGAAAAAGTATTTGACTCAAAAAGGTTTTTGATATCTAATACTACGTTTTAGCAACATATTTTTTTAAAAAATTACTTCCTGAAAGCACAGGTTACCAAAACTGAGTCACGTGAAAGATTCTTTTTGGATCTACTTTCCAAATGATGAAGTCCCTCAAAAGTTTATTAGATTATTAGATTTTTTTTTATCTTTGTATAGCCACCAACAATAGTATGCAGCATCTGCAAAAAGGATGGCCATTCAAAGAATGATTGCCCAGAGGATTTCAGGAAAATTGATCTAAAACCTCTACCACCAATGACAAACCGATTTCGGGAAATACTTGATTTAGTATGTAAAAGATGTTTTGGTAAGTCTTTTTATTACTACAACTACTGGGACAAGATTCTTTCTTAGATATTAAATATTTATTTCCTGATTTAAAAAACAATTTGCTTATATTTTGTTTTGCTGAAGGTTTTTCAATGGAGACCCAAGTACAGATATTTACTAAATGACTAGTATGTGCAGAGCATCATAGTAAATGCCAAGGGGAATAGAGAGTCCATATATATTGCTTTTAAGGAGCTTAGAATATGGATATGAGCTGTCTAACATGGTAGCTTCTAGCCTATGTGGCTTTTAAATTTAAATCAATTAAAATTAAATTAAAAACCAAGTTCTTCAGTTTTATACTAGACATATCTCAAGTACTCAGTAGCTACATGTAGCTAGTGGCTGTTATATTGGACAGCATTGATAGAAAACATTTTCATCCTTGCAACATTCTTGGGTAACACTGCTCTAGATGGATTAATACAGCATGTATGTAAATTGCCATGATTGGAAGTAGAATGTGTTATATGCTATAGTAGTGGTAAATGAAACGCAGTGTAAACACAATTAATTTATCTGGGGTGGATCAGTGGAACGAGGATTAATGATGTGGTATTTGAGACAGACCTTGAGCTGCATCTTTAAACATTGAAGATTATGCATGAAAGCATAGAGTGGCTGGGTGTGGTGGCTCATGCCTGTAATCCCAGCACTTTGGGAAGCCGAGGCGGGCAGGTCACAAAGTCAGGTGTTTGAGACCAGCCTGGCCAACACAGTGAAACCCTGTCTCTACTAAAAATACAAAAATTAGCCGGGCATAGTGGCACGTGCCTGTAGTCCCAGCTGCCTGGGAGGGAGGCTGAGGCAGGAGAATCACTTGAACCCAGGAGGTGGAGGTTGTAGTTAGGCGAGATGGTGCCATTGCACTCTAGCCTGGACAGCATTGCAAGAGTCCATCTTAAAAAAGCATAGAGTGCATATTTTATTGGGGGAATAATTGCCTTTGATTTGGTAGGGTATAAGAAAGGCAGTAGAGAGAAATAAAGCTGTAAAGATATTATGGGGAAAGCCTTGCATGCCTTTATTCAGCAAATGTTTACAGAGTACCTGGGAGTCACCTTTACTCAGCAAACATTTATGAATTACTTTCTGTGTCCAGGTAAGATAAAATTTCTGGTGTCAACATTTAGTGCTTCATCGTAATCTCCTCCTTCTTCCCCATTTCCATCTCCCACCAGGCAACTACTTTTCTGTGTTTGTCACTATTGATAGTTTATATTTTCTAGAGTTCTGTGTAAGTGTAGTTATACAGAATGTGTTCTTTTTTTGGTCTCACTTTTTTTTGTCTGACTTTTTTCACTCAGTATATTACTTTGGGATTCATCCATGTTGTTGTCTATCAGTGGTTAATTTATTCTTGTATCTGAGTAGTGTTCCATTGTATGGCTATACTACAATTTGTTTATTCATTCACCTGTTGATAAATATTTGTCTCACTTCAAAATTTTGGCTGTATGGGTCTGAGTATGGACATACACTTTCATTATCTTGGCTAAATACTTAGTAGTAGAATGGCTGGATCACGGCACATGTTTTTTAGCAGCTTTATTAAGATACAATTTACTGCATTTGTTTTTATTTAGTCATTTATTTATATCAATGTGGGCTCATAGATATTTGATACTTTGGGTTATAATTGAATATAATTTTTCTTTTGTTCAAGTTATTTCAGCTTTGGCCATTGGGAGCTATTTCACTTGGCTTCTGGTTCCCTTTTATCTACATCCATCAGTGTGTGGTTTTTATTGTTTGTTTGGGTTTTAACACTTCCTTATTTTCTGGCACTACAAGATGCTCCTGGCACTTCATGTTTGTTTTGTGCCGTAGTCCTAGAATTAGGCATTTCTCCAAGGATCTGTAATTCCTTTTATTGGAAAATGATATTAGAAACCAAGATCTGAATACTAGGTATGCTTGCTATTACTGGGCTGTCATTGCTTTGAGACCATCTCAGAGCAAGAAAATATGTCTGTATATACTAAGCTATGTATATAAGCTTACTATAAATATTTCTATATGTAGCCGTCTTATCTGTGTTAAACCAAACATGATTTCATGATGGTATCTCTGACTCTAACCCATTACCACATGGCTCATTTTAGTCATGCGTGTATGTAAACTCCCCTCCAACAGTGAGAAACCTGGTTCCCACCTCTATTACTCATATTTTAAATTGTTCCATTTTAGTACATATATATAGCAGTATCAGAACTGTTAACCCATACCCCTGTGGGAAACAACTTTATTAACTAGAGTACAGTGCTTATGTGTGGTTCCTTTTGCCCTTAGTCTTACAGATTCCACTCATTTTCAAATTTACTTTGCTCAGCACCTTTCCCCCTGTCCCTCATGTGAAGTTGTTTCATACATTTATAATACAGTTAGATTATTTTGTCACAGTCTTTATTACACCCTAAGATCCCCTGACTTCCTAGATGAGTTTTTTAAAATTGCATACATTAAGGCTCACTCTTTGTGCTACAGAGTTCTGTGGGTTTTGACAAGTGCATTGTGTCATGTATCTACCATTAGAGTATCATACAGAATAGTTTCACTGCCCTAAAAACAAATTAACAAATTACATGAATTTTATTTATTTAACTCCCCTTCTTCTGTAAGCACTGATAACTGCATTTGTTTTTTAAAAGTTGAATATTAGTTTAATTCATTATAGCCAATTCTTTTTTTTTTTTTTTGAGACAGAGTCTCACTCCGTCATGAGGCGCCAGGCTGGAGTGCAGTGGTGCAATTTCGGCTCACTGCAACCTCCGCCTCCCAGGTTCAAGCAATTCTCCTGCCTCCGCCTCCCAAGTAGCTGGGACCACAGGCGTGTGCCACCATGCCCAGCTAATTTTTGTGTTTTTAGTAGAGACGGGATTTCACCATGTTGGCCAGGATGGTCTCGATCTCTTGACCTCGTGATCCGCTCCCCTCGGCCTCCCAAAGTGTTGGGATTACAGGCGTGAGCCACTGTGCCCAGCTATAACAAATCTTTATAAATTACTGCTTTGTTCCTGTTACTATATTAACTTTCTGAGATGAGTGTGAAGAGGTAGGGAAAAAAACTTTGTTCTTAAGAAATTTATGGACTTATTTGGAAAAATAAGATGAATATAAATGAAATAACTAGGAAATCAAAAGGATAAAATAAATCAGGTACTAGACTGTGGCACACAGTTCGAAAAACTGAAGAAGTGGAACTAAAAAGAGATCATTAAATGCTGTGATTTGGCAAAACAGTTTATAGGGAAGATAGGAATTTTGACCAGGCATTTGAGGGAACTGTTAATAAATCTGAATGAGCCAGATGCCTAGTGTAGCAATACGAATACAGTCTTAACAGATGGGAAAATAAGCATGGATATAGGAGAGAGTGAAGAAGTAAATAGGTTTGTAGATATATGGGAAATGATCATGTGAAATGTACATATATCTTAAAATAATTTTTCTGTTCCATTTCTTCCTCTGGGTTGCTAAAACAGAAAAACAGTTTTTTTTCCTGCTATCTCCCTGACCTTTCCCCAGTAACATTTATGGTTTTAAAGTAAGAGAAGTCAACAAATAATGAACAAACTGTAAGTAAAATTTTTAGGGTAAAAACTTGAAGATGTTTTCAGATTATATTTTCCTTACTTTTCTTTTTCCTTTTTTCTTTTTGTAAACCCAGATGAGTTATCACCACCTTGTTCTGAACAACACAACAGGGAGCAAATTTTAATTGGCTTGGAAAAGTTTATTCAAAAAGAATATGATGGTATGTCATAGGTTAAAAAATTTATTGTGTTTTTGCTGTAGTCACGTAGTCTTGACTTTCATTTATTTAAAAATGTTTATTGAATGTTATGTGTTAAGTACTATTCTAGTTGCTGGGAATACAGTGCTAGTAAAAGAGATGAAAACTCTCTTGAAGCTTATGTTTCAGATAGGGAAACAAATAGTTGACTAATATATAATATTATATCAGCAAATAATACATGCTGTTAAAGAGTAGGAAATAAAAGAATTGAAGTGATGGGGTGTTATGATAGGTCTTTCTGATAAGGTAGCATTTGCACAGGATCCTGAATAAGATGAAGGAGCAAGTTATATAAATATCCAAGGAGAAAACATTGTCAGTGAAAAAGACTAGATTATGTCTGGCATATTTGAAGAATAGCCAGGAAGTCAGTGTAACTCGAGTGGAGTATTAGGTAGATTGTAATGGATAGATGAGGTCAGAGAGGTAGTCTAGGGATTAAGTCATTAGGGTCTTATGGATGTGGGTGGAAGGACTTTGAATTTTAATTTGAGTATCTAATGAGAATCTTTTAGAGGATTTTTAGTAATTAAATGACATGATCTGAGAGAATAGGTTGCTGGGCTATAAGACTAGAAGCAAGCGAAACATTTAGGAGGCTGTTGTGTAAGTCCGGATAAGACATAATAGTGATTTGGAGGAGTAGATGAGAAGTGGTCAGATTTGGGATATATTTTGAAGGTAGAGCCAACAGGGTTTGCTGATGGAAAACGTGAGACGTGAGAGAAAGAAATCAAAGATGGTTTCAAGGTTTTTGCTTTAGCAGTAACAGTTGGGTGGTCCTGTTTAACTGAGATGGCAAAGAGCAGGAAGAGTAAGTTTTGGGAATGGGAATGAAGAATCAAGAGTTTTGTGGCCAGATATTTTAGAAAACGACAAATAGTTGATTTATAATCAGAATGATTTTTTACTTTTACAAGATGATCCATTATGTGTTATAAAATTACATTTAAAAGTATTTGAAAACAAATTTTTTAATTAAAAAATTCTATTTTTTTTTTTAAGAGATAGAATCTCAGTCTGTTGCTCAGACTAGATAGAGTGCAGTAGCATAATTATAGCTCACTGCAGCCTCAAAGCAGTCTTCCTGCCTTAGCCTCCCAAGTAGTTAGGACTAGAGGTGTGTGCCACCATGCTTGTCTAACTTTTTATTAAAAAAGAACTTTTTTTTGGCCAGGTGCAGTGGCTCACACCTGTAATCCCAGCAGTTTGGAAGGCTGAGGCAGGTGGATCACCTGAGGTCAGGAGTTTGAGACCAGCCTGACCAACATGGTGAAACCCATCTCTACTGAAAATAAAAAAATTTGCTGGGCATAGTGGCACACGCCTGTAATCCCAGCTACTCAGGAGGCTGAGGCAAGAGAATCGCTTGAACCTGGGAGGCAGAGGTTGCAGTGAGCCAAGATCATGCCTGTGTAGATCCAGCCTGGGTGACAAGAGTGAAACTTTGTCTCAAAAAAAAAAAAAAGACATATATATTTTTTTGAAATAGGATCTTGCTCTGTCACCCAGGCTTAACTGCGATCATGTAATCAGGGTTCATTTCAGCCTTGACCTCTCAGGTTCAAGTGATCCTCCTACCTTAGCCTCCTGAGTATCTGGGATCACAGGATAGTACCACCACACCCAGCTGATTATTTTCTGCAGAGATAGAGTTTCACCCTGTTTTCCAAGCAGGTCTCAAACTCCTGATCTCAAGTGATTCACCTCCCTCAGCTTCCTAGAGTTCTAGGGTTACAGGCATGAGCAACCACACTCTGCCTTCTTTTTTATTTTAACATTTTTTTTGCAAAGATGAAGTCTCACCATATTGCCCAAGCTGGTCTCAATCTCCTGACCTCAAATGATCCTCCCACCTTGGCTTTCTGAAGCTCCGGGATTGTAGGAGTATAAAGTATTGACCAAATCTAAGTCTCTATTATATAAAACTCATGCTCATTTTTATTTGCTGTTGAGTATAGTTTCTTTTATGCATCTCAGCTATCATTGAAATTTCAAGTAGAGCATCAGGGCTGGATGGGGGAATGAAATTTTCAAAGTATAAAATGTCCTATCTAAATGTGTAGTCTACTTAAGAATTAATAGGAAGAGCCAGGCCCAGTGGCACATACCTGTCATCCCAGCTACTTGGGAGGTTGAGGTGGGAGTATTGCTTGAGGTAGGGAGTCCAAGGCTGTAGTGCATAATGATCGTACCTGTGTATAGTCAGTGTACTCTAGCCTGGGCAACATTGCAAGACCCTGTCTCTAAAAAATAAAAAAAGTAATAGGAAGAAAAATGCAGCTCTATTAAACCATAGCGTATTTGAAATGGTAGCTGTTATTGGATGAGTCTGAAGGGTTAACCCTATCATAATTTATACCAAGTGGATTAAACATTTATTTTTGGAAGAGAATCATGTACTAAGGTGATATTTGTAAACCTACCTGAATTGTGGTTTGAAATAATTAATTTATTTTTAAGAGGTCAGTTCTCAGATATTAATCTTAACTATTGGTAGTGATGTTGAGAATGAATAAAAGCAGTTGGATTTATTACATAAGTCTGAAAAAGCTAAAAGTCTTACTAATTGTTTGCATGTGGACACTGAGAGAGAGAGAGATATTAAGGATTGCACCTGTATTTCTGATGTGAGCAACTGAATACATGTTGGTACTATTTGCTGAGAATAGGAATAATAAAAATAACAATAGGTTTGGGATGAAGTTGATAGTTTAGACATGTTGAATTTATGACGTCTGTGGAAAATTGGGATGAGCAGCTGGGTACATGGGTACGGAAACTTGAGCTCAAGATGTTTTGGAATTTCTCGTATTTCTTCCCATGGTAGGTAATTTAAATCATAGAAATGGACAAAAGCATGTTGTATTAGGTTATTAGTAGATAATGGAAGACTCTTCCTCTCTGCAAATAATAAGACTTTGGACTGTGTTTTCCTTTGCTTAGAAAAGGCAAGATTGTGCTTATTTGGCTCTTCTAAGAATGGATTTGGATTTCGTGATAGCGATCTGGATATTTGTATGACCCTGGAAGGCCATGAAAATGCAGAGGTAAGAGTGTTTGGGAAATGTTATGGAAGTTTGTTTCTCCCATTGATGATTCTATTATTATTTTTGTATGTGATATTGATAAAAATGTGGTATCACTCTTTGTATAAATACATTAGCAAAATAACAGTGTTTCAAATAGGAAAACAATCGCATTTTCAATTTATAAGACACTGAAATCTTAAAATAAGTAAAATTAGTGTTTCAGTAATTTTATGATACAAAAACCATGTCACTGAGAGTTACAAGTGATTTGTAATGAATTTTGGTAAAAAATAATATAAGATTGGAATTTTTTTCACTAGACCCAATCAGAAGCTGATGCTTCAGTTTTGTAGTCAACATTGACCTTTTATACTTTATCTTCTCATATCTCTTCCATTAGATAATGTCTTTGTATCACTATAGGTAGTAAATACAGGTGGTCACCTAATTTATAATTGGCTTTGTTCTAAAAGTTAGTTTTAATTTTTGGCCACTCACATAAAATTTTTTCCATAGAAGCAATATTATAAATGATGTGCTAAGGGCTGGGCATGGTGACTCATGCTTGTAATCCCAGCACTTTGGGAGGCAGAGGCAGGTGGATCATGAGGTCAAGAGATCAAGACCATACTGGCCAACATGGTGAAACCCCACCTCTACTAAAAATACAGAAATTAGCTGGGTGTGCTGGGGTGTGCCTATAGTCCCAGCTGCTTGGGTGGGGGACTGAGGCAGGAGAATCGCTTGAACCGGGAGGTGGAGGTTGCAGTGAGCTGAGATCATGCCACAGCACTCCTGCCTGGAGACAGAGCAAGACTCTTATTTATTCATAAATAAACAAACAAACAAACAAACAAACAAATAAATAAATAAATGCTAAGATAGCTTTTAGAAACTCATTTTGGGCGGGGAGGAGAACTAACATTTATTGAGTTCCCAGTATACACTTTTACATACATTATCTCATTTCATTCTTACAACCATCTTCGAGGTAGGTATTATTTCCCCCATTTTACAGATGAGGAAACTGAGGCTTTGAGAGATAAACTGACTTGTCCAAGTTCACACAGCTAGTAATTGTTGGAGCCGGGATTCGTAACCCAGGTCTGTCTGACTCCAGAGTTCATGCTCTTTCCATTGTATCTCACTGCCTCTCTGTAATTTTTTTTTAACCCATAATGTAGCTGAAATATAGTACTAATAGTACTGTAGAACCTAACCACTACTTTCTGAAACTGAAAGCTTTCTGAGTTCCACCGTGAGATGCCAGGAGCAGACCTTCCCCAAGTGCAATTTCAGCAGTGAGAGTGGGTACTTAAGCTTTCCCTTTTTGTCTACCAGGCCTTAATAATGGGAAGGAGATTGTCCAAGCTCCAGGGAAGAAAGGGACTGATTGGACAGGGAAGAAATGTCCCAGGCCTTCTCAATGGCAGCTAGCAAAGGAGGGGATCCTTGTAGATGGTCCTTTACCAGCCTAGCTATTGGTATTTGTGTTTCAAAATTAGGGACTGCAAGATTGGGGTGAGGCCCAGCTTCTGGCATCCGTAGTGGTGTCAGTATAGCCTCTGTTACGTTACAAAAGAATTGAGGAGAATAGTGTGCTTTTCTGAAATTCTTTTGAAAAGTGGTTTTGAAATTGTTAGACCCAGAGTGCAGATGGCAGTGATGCCTTATTTCTGGCTGTAGGAAGTTGCTTCTGGTGTATTAACATGTTGTTTTATTAAGAAACCGAAAAGTTGCAAATATTTTATTTGTTCTCCTTTGCTAAATTCTGCATAGAGCCACCTACTTAGAAAGTGGCTGCCCTTCTCCGTTCTGAGGAGTCAGAATTGAGGGAATAGGAAATTATTATTTTTTTTTTACCCAGGAAGGAGGTTAGAGCTTTAGATATCTCCTATGTAAAATTTATTAATTAAACTTCTAATCACTAAGGGTTTGTCTGTCATATATAATCTGTGCCATTCACATTGGGAAGTTGAAACAAAATAATAAATCATTTTCTTTCAGATGAGTCATAATGAAACTTTAAAAATTTAGCATCATTGTATCCTTGAATAATAAAGAGAAAAATTACCTCCTTTGCTAATTTTATCATATGTGAATTAGTAACTAACAGTTTCTTTGAAATCCTTTGGTTTAGCTGCAATGGCTCCTGCTCTCATGTAGCTAAAAAGAGCATGTTGGAAAAATGCAAGTGACTTTATAATAACTCTTGGGATTGATGTTTATTACCCTTCAGGTATTTTCAGTTAATTTATAATGCCATAATCATTATGTATTATGATTATCATTACCATACCAACTCTGCTCTCTCTGGTTTTTACAACAGTAGCACACTTAAATTTTCAGAAGTAAGAATTTCCTTGGAGAAATAGGTGCTGGTGATAACAGTATCTTTCTTTTCCACATCAGCATAATAATAATAAATAACTCACAGATTTAAAGGCTTATTTTGTGCCAGGCATTCATTGCTGAGTACTTTACATAAATGTCTCATGAAATCCTCCCAACAGCTCTTCAGGACAAAAGTTTATGATTATCTTAATTTTATAAAATAGTAATGTGTGATGCTCAGAGACGTTAAACGTCTGGTCAGTCACACAGCTAATCAATACTTATTTGAGCCCAGGTTTGTCTCGATTTAGAGCCTGTGTGCTTAATCACTCTGTTGTTTTGCCCTCACCAAACTCACCTCTAGTTGTTTATTCACTTATTGAAAACCATTTTCTTCTCCTGTCTTTGTGCTTCTCAAACTTTAATCTGCATGTGAATTACCTTGGGATCCTGTTAAAATGCAGATTATGATTTAGTAGACTGGTGAGGGTCCTCAGATTCTGCATTTCTATCAAGTTTGCAGATTATGCTGATACTCTAGGTCTGTCAATCACTTACTTGGAGTAGCAAGGTTATTATAGAGCTTTATGGCTGGAAATTTTAAATGCTACTAAATGCCTAAAGTAGAATTTGCACAAGGTGACATTGAGTCAAACTTTATTTCGTTTGTTTTTTAGAAATTAAATTGTAAGGAAATAATTGAAAATTTGGCAAAAATTCTTAAGAGACATCCAGGTATGAATTTTCAATCTTATCTTTAAAACCAAAGAAAATTTTTTTTAGCATTACGAACATTACTTAACCTACTGAAGTCTTTTTTTTTTTTTTTAATTAGGTTTAAGAAACATTTTGCCTATAACTACTGCCAAAGTGCCTATAGTAAAATTTGAACACAGACGAAGTGGGTTAGAAGGCGATATCAGTTTATATAATACATTGGTAAGTTTATCTTTACGGGCCATGAATAAACTTTTCATTTTACAAGTTTACAGATTACAGACTCTATCTTTGTGTTTAAAACTTTCAAATGTAAACAATATAAGAAAAAAGTATTTTATTAGTCATCTTGCTATTTCCTTCAGATTGAAGATCAGTTTTTGTTTGACTCATTAATAGATATTGTACATTTGTATATTTTGTATTTGGAGTGTATTATATTTTTAAATCTGATTTGTAGTTTAATTTTTAAAAATTTGAAATGCTTTCAAATATGTAATTATTTTTCAGGCTCAACATAACACAAGAATGCTAGCTACTTATGCAGCTATTGATCCTAGAGTGCAGTATTTGGGATATACTATGAAAGTGTTTGCTAAGGTATTTATGAAAAAATTAATGATCTGCTTTGTAGTAATGCTCGTGATAATGAAAGTGAAACATACTAATGTCAGATTCGTGAAAAATATTGTCTCAATTTTGTTTATCTGAGCTTTTAAAAAAGAAAGTTTCAGTATTGTATAGGTTGAATTGATACCTATCAGAGTAGGGTGGCTCTTAGTCTTTTTCCTGTATGTGCTCTATTCCCATGTGCAACTCACTAGTCAGTTCCTCAGCAGTAAAATTTCTCAATGCAGTTGATTTTCAACCACTGGCGTGGGAGTTGGTATACCATCCTAGTTAAGAATTTCTGGGTTAAGTAATGTATTTGAGTTTAGTGATAAATTTTTCTGACCCAGAAAACAAAACAATACCAATAATACCTTATACTTTTCCTATTATAACATTTATTAAGACATTGAATTTAGTTTTCTTGTTCTTTTGCTAAATGTGTAAACTAGATGAGGAGAGGGACCTCTGTTTCCCTAGTTCAATGTAGTGCCTGCTTTATGGCAGCTCCTCAGTAAAATGATTAACTTTATGAGTATGTTAGTGGAAGAGTTTTAGTAGGGGAGAAACTTGGTCAGATTTTCATTTCATAAAGCTTCCTCTTTCCTATTAGAAAAGGAATTTTGTTGTTGTTGTTGAGATGGAGTCTTACTCTGTCGCTCAGGCTGGAGTGCAGTGGTGCGATCTCTGCTCACTGCAACCTCCACCTCCCAGGTTCAAATGATTTTCCTGCCTCAGCCTCCCAAGTAGCTGGGATTACAGGCACTCACCATCATGCCTGGCTAAATTTTGTATTTTTAGTAGAGACAGGGTTTCACCATGTTGGCCAGGCTGGTCTTGCGCTTGTGACCTCAAGTGATACTCCAGCTTTGGCCTCCCAAAGTGTTGGGATTATAGGCATGAGCCACTGTGTTCAGCTGGAAAGCATATTTTTAAAGATATTCCTATACATGTCTTTGTAGACAAGAGTGTTTCTCAGAAGAGCATTCAGGCACACACTACATGTAAGACTTGATATGCCGCTTTTTCTAGATTGACCTAACAAGGTAACTCTAACATGACAGTTTTGTTATAACTACATAGAATTTTGTTAATAAAATAACTCCACCGGGCATGGTGGCTCATGCCTGTAATTCTACCACTTTGGGTGGCTGAGGCAGGGGGGATCACAAGTCAGGAGATCAAGACCATTGTGGCTAACACAGTGAAACCTAGTCTCTACTAAAAATAGAAAACTATTAGCCTGGCCTGGTAGCACGCTCCTGTAGTCCCAGCAACTCAGAGGTTGAGGCAGAAGAATTGCTTGAACCCAGGAGGTCGAGATTGCAGTGAGCTGAAATTGCGTCACTGCACTCCAGCCTGGGCGACAGAGTGAGACTCTGTCTCAAAAAAAAAAAAAAAAAAAAAAAATCACTTCTTTCCCCTTTAAATATAGATAAGCTAAATCCTTGCTCAAGGGAAGAAGTCTCTGAAGATTCTTTCACTTTTTTTTTTTTTTTTTTTTTTTTTTTTGAGACAGTGTCTCGCTCTGTTGCCCAGGCTGGAGTTCAGTGGTATGATCATGGCTCACTGCAGCCTCAAACTCCCAGGCTTAGGCGATCCTCCTGCCTCAGCCTCCCAAGTAGCTGGGACTACAGGTAGATGCTGCCACCTCCGACTAATTTTTGTCTTTTTTGTAGAGACAGAGTCTCATCGTATTGCCCAGGCTAGTCTCACCCCTGGGCTGAAGCAATCAGTCTGTCTTGTGCATCCCACCCAAAGTGTTGGCATAAGAGGCATGAACCACTGAGCCCAGCCAGGTTTTTATTTTATTTTTATTTTTTAAAATTTAAAATTGTTTGAATGGCCAACATAATCATGTGTTCAGAATTCAAAAGGTCAGCCAGTTGTGGTGGCATACACCTGCAGTCCCAGATTCTTGGGAGGCTGAGGCACGAGAATTGCTTGAGACCAAGAGTTAGAGAGGTTGCAGTGAGCTGAGATCATGCCACTGTATTCCAGCCTGGGCAAAAGAGTGAGACTCTGTCTCAAAGATTGAAAAAAATAATTCAAAAGGTCTAAAAGAACTTATGGTAGAAAATGGAAAATCTTCCTTCCATACTTACCTCCTAGCCAATCATTGCCTCTTGCTGGAGACAGCCAGTGTTAAGAGTTTCCCTGCATCCTTCCAGAAATATATTATACCAGTACTAGGAAATACATAAATTTCCCATCTCCTTTTTATTACAGATATAAACACACTGAATATATTGTTTTGCACTTTGCTTTTCTTTTTTAACCTAGCAGTAGATCTTGGAGATAATTTCTTATTAGTAGAATAACTCACTTGTTCTCTTTTTTTAAATTTTAATTTTCTTTTTTTGTTTTTGAGATGGCGTCTTGCTCTGTCACCCAGGCTGGAGTGCAGTGGCACAATCTTAGCTCACTGCAGCCTCCACCTCCTGGGTTCAAGCATTTCTCCCTGCCTCAGCCTGCCAAGTAGCTGGGATTATAGTTGCCTGCTACCACGACCGGCTACTTTTTGTAATTTAGTAGAGACAGTGTTTTGCCATGTTAGATGGGCTAGCCTCGAACTCCTGACATCAGGTGACCCGCCCACCTCAGCCTCCCAAAGTGCTGTGATTAGAGGTGTGAGCCATCTTGCCCAGCCTTTATTTTTATTTTTGAGACAGGGTCCCACTCTGTTGCCCAGGCTGGAATAAAGTGATGTGATTACTGCATGCTGCAGCCTGGACCTCCTGGGCCTAATTGATCCTCCCACCTCAGCCTTCTGAGTAGCTGGGAATACAGGCATCTGCCACCATGCCTAGCTGTTGCTGTATTTTTTGTAGAGAAGGGGTTTCGCCGTGTTGCCCAGACTGGTCTTGAACTCTTGGACTCATTTATTTTTTATTTATTAAAAAAGATATTTTTCCTAACTACTAGACCATCAAGGACCTTGTTCTTTTTTAATGTCTGCATACCTTTCCATTACGTAAATAATCCTTAGTTATTTTAAACCTGTGCTTTACTGATGAACCTAAAATTATTTCTAATTTTTGCTATTATAACAGTGTTAGAATTAAAGAAACCTTCTTAGTTATTTCACATATTTTTGGCATGTTTGCAGGGTATATTCTTAGAATAGGATTTCTAGTTCAAAGAAAATGTGCTTTTGTAATTGTGATATTGTCAAACTATTCTTCATAGTGTTTGCATTAATTTACTCTCACTTGCAGTGTATGAGAGTACCTATTTCCCCACATCATGTATAGCAGTTTTTTGTTTGTAGAGAGGGAGTCTCACTACCTTACCCAGGCAGGTCTTGACCTCCCAGGCTCAAACTATTCTTTCACCTTGGCCTCCCAGAGCGTTGGGATTATAGACGGTGCACCCAGCCTAGAGCAGCTTGTTTTTAACCCAGTTTAACCCAGTTCTGTGGGTTTAGAAAAAAATGATGTGGCAGAATACTCAGTATTTCTGCATGGTGTAAGACTCTGAAGTTTTGTTTTCAATCATGTTGTTTTTTAGCGATGTGACATTGGGGATGCTTCCAGGGGAAGTTTATCTTCATATGCATATATCCTTATGGTGCTGTACTTTCTGCAGCAGAGAAAGCCACCTGTTATCCCAGTTCTACAAGAGGTAGGTGTTTAAGAAAACCATGAAGGAGTTTTTATGAAAACAATAGATCTAAATACAGGAGATTTTGCTTGGTTCATGTCGTCATGAAGGATTTTTCCGTCATGGATGTCCTAAGTTTTCTCTTTCCATTAATGCTATAATTATTGAATATTTTTGAAAAATTTATTATGGGAGAATATAGACTACCAAAAGAATATTAGATGAGCAGAAATGTTGAATATCTTTTGTAACGTTTTTAAATTTTACAGTCCTACAGTGCTAAGGATGACTGTGAAGTTCTTGTAGCCAGCCATGAACTCATATATTTTATAGTCTCAAAGATGCAAGTACACAAGTTTCTTTCTAGAATATTTTCCCTCCTGTTGCCTGGCAGCGAAGATTGATTGATTCTTATGTGTACCATGATCAACCTTGTAAATTTTGGTTAAGAATGAACCCAAGGAAATTCTTCCTTATGCCTTCTAAAGTCATATTCATTGCATTAAACACAAGAATGTACATTGAAAGAAACAGATTATACTCATGCACTCAGAATTGGTGACTCATAAAGTTCCTTTTTGTAGTCAATTTATACTCTCGGAAATTGGTACAAAGGAGATATTAATCATCCATCTATCCCTCCCAATTCTTGGCACAAAGTAGATTTATAGGCATTAGGGAGGATCCAATTCTAATTTTTTAGAATGGTGACTATTTTCAGTTAAGAGACAAGCATCAGAATTGGTTGGAAAATCACATATTCTGATTTCACATAAACTTTGATAGTTATGGCAAAGAAGAAAATCACAAAATAATAAGCCATATAGTAGATGTCAGATAGCCTTAGTAAGTTTTAAGAAGTTCTAATGAATATATATGGTTTTACCAGCATTTCTTTCCCTCTTTTAAACAGTGTAAGGGAAAAAAAAATTTTAAATTTTTGTTTAAATCCTTTTCTAGCCAAAGATTTTAAGTTGCTGAATCTGTGTTGGGTGATGTATGTTTGGGTGTGTGTTTAAAGTATTTTTTAAGAGCAGTTTTAAGTTCACAGCAAAACTGAGAGGAAGGTAAAGAGTTTCCAGCGTATCTCCTTTACCCACACATGCATAACCTCCCCCATCACTAACTCCACCAGAGTGGTACATTTATTACAACTGATGACCTACATTGACATATAATCACCCAAAGTCCATGGTTTGCAATTAACATTTACTCTTGGTGTTGTATATTCTAAGGGTTTGGATGATATATAATGATGTACACATTTTATCATAATCAATGATGTATCAATATATGTCATTATAGTATTATATAGACTATTTTCACTGCCTTAAAAATTTTTTGTACTTTGCCTGGTCATTCTCCTCTTCTCTCAACCCTGGCAACCACTGATCTTTGTACTGTCTTCATAGTTTTACCTTTTCTATCATATAGTTATGTAGCCTTTTCAGATTGACTTCCATCACTCAGTAATATGTATTTAAATTTCCTTCATGTCTTTTCATAGCTTGATAGCTCATTTGTTTGTTTTTTTGTTAGTTTTTTAATTTTTAGAATTTTTTCTCAAACCTCTAATTTTTTTTTTTTTTTTTTTTTTTTTTTGTGAGACAGAGTCTCGCTCTGTTGCCCAGGCTGGAGTGCTGTGGCATGATCTCAGCTCACTGCACCCTCTACCTCCTGTGTTCAAGCGATTCAAGCCATTCTCTTGCCTGAGCTTCCCGAGTAGCTGGGATTACAGGCATGTGCTCACACCTTCTAATTTTTGTATTTTTAGTAGAGACAGGGTTTCACCATGTTGGCCAGGCTGGTCTCGAACTCCTGACCTCAGGTGATCTGCCTGCCTCGGCCTCCCAAAGTGCTGGGATTACAAGCATGAGCTACCACACCTGGTCTGTCATTTCTTTTTAGTGCTCAGTAATATTCCATTGTCTGGATGTACTACAGTTTATTCATTCACATATGGAAGAGCATCTGTGTTACTGCCAAATTTTGGCTATTATGAATAAAACTTATAAACATCTGTGTGCAGGTTTTTGTATGTATATAGTTTTCAAGTCTTTTGGGTGAATACGAAGGAGTCACATTGGTGAATCATATATACAAGTTGTTGAGTTTTGTAAGAAATGGCCAGCTGTTTTCCAAAGTGGCTTTATGAGTTTGCTTTTCTACCAGCAATGTGTGAGAGTGCCTGTTGCTCCACATCCACCCATCGTCTGAGTACTTGTCCATGTTCTGGATTGTGGCCATTCTCTCAGTTGTGTAATAGTATTTATTTCTTTTTCTGAGACAGTGTCTTGCCCTCATTTGCCAGGCTGGAGTATGGTGGTGCAGTCAGGGTTCCTGCAGCCTCAACCTCCTAGGCTAAGGTGATTCTCCCACCTCAGCCTCCTGAGTAGCTGGGACTACTGGCACACACCACCACACCCAGCTAATTTTTTTTGTATATTTAGTAGAGATGGGGTTTTGCCACGTTGCTCAGGCTGGTCTTGAACTCCTGGGCTCAAGCCCACCTCACCCCTCAAAGTGTGAGATTACTTTTAATGGCAAAACCCCAATTACTTTTGCACCAACTTAGTATTTTGTTTTATTTATGTGTTTATTTTTGAGACAGGGTCTTGCTCTGTTGCCCAGGCTAGATTACAGTGGCACAATCTCCGCTCACAGCGACCTCCACTTCCTGGGCTCAAGTGATCCTCCTGCGTCAGCCTCCCAAGTAGCTGGGACTACTGGCATGAGCCACCATGTGTGGCTAATTTTTGTATGCTTTTAGAGATAGGGTTTCTCCATGTTGCCCAGGTTGGTCTCGAACTCCTGGGCCCAAGTAATTTGCCTGCCTTGGCCTCCCAAAGTGCTGGGATTACAGGTGTGAGCCACTTCACCTGGCCCTTTGTTGTTTTAATTTGCATCTCCCTGATGACATTATGTTGAAATCTTTTCATATGCTTATTTGCTATTCTGTTTTCTTTGGTGAAGTGTTAAGGTCTTAGGTCCATTTTTTAAACAGGTTATTTTCTAACTGTTGAGTTTAGTTCTTTTTATATTTTGAATAATAGTTCTTTATCAGATTTGTGTTTTGCAACCATGTTCTCCATGTCTGTGGCTTGTTTGTTCATTCACTTGACGTTATCTTTTGCAGATCGGAAAATTTTAATTTTACTGAAGTTCATCTTGTCAATTATTTGTTTCATAGCTCTTGGCTTTGGTGTTGTGTCACTATACTCAAGGTCATATGGATTTTCTCTTGTGTTACCTTCCAGAAGTTTTATTTTATGTTTAGGTCTATGACCCATTGAGAGGTTTGGTTTTTTGGTTTGTTTTTTGAGATGGTGTCTTGCTCTGTCACCCAGGCTAGAGTGCAATGGCATGGTCTTGGCTCACTGCAACCTCTGCCTCCTGGTTTCAAGCGATTCTCCTGCCTCAGCCTCCCTAATAGCTGGGATTACAGGTGCCTGTCACCACACCCGGCTAATTTTTGCATTTTTTGGTAGAGACAGGGTTTCATCATGTTGGCCTGGCTGGTCTGAAACTCCTGACCTCGTGATCCGCCCACCTCGGCCTTTCAGAGTTCTGGGATTACAGGCGTGAGTCAACATGCCCGGCTGAGTCAATTTTTTGTGAAGGGTGTAAAATCTATGCCTAGATTCATTGTTTTGCATGTGGATGTCCATACGACTTGTTGAAAAGACTATCATTTCTCCATTGTATTACCTTTGCTCCTTTTTCAAGGACCAGTGGATTATATGTGGGTATACTTTTGGGCCCTCTACTGTTCCATTGATTTATTTGTTTATTATTTCACGAATGCCATACTCTCTTATTTATGGTAGCATTATAATAAGTCTTGTGGTTGGGTTGTGTCAGTCCTCCAGCTTTGTTCCTCTCCTTCCATATTGTGTTATCTATTCTGAATCTTTTGCCTCTCTATGTAAACTTTAGAATTAGTTTGTCAGTATCCACAAAATGACTTGCAAGAATTTTGATTGGGATTGAATTGAATCTGTAGACTAAGTTGGGAAGAACTGACATCTTGACAGTTTTGGGTCTTCCTGTCAATAATAATGGAACATCTCTCCATTTATTTAGTTTTTTGATTTTCCTTATCAGAGTTTTGTAGTTTTCCTCAGGTAGACCTTGCATTTATTCTATTAGACTTATACCTATGTATTTCATTTTTTGGTGGTATTATAAATGGTATTTATTGTATTTCTAATTTCAAATTCCACTTGTTCGTTGCATGTATCTAAGAAAGAATTTGGATTTTGTATATTAATCTTGTGTCTTGTAAATTTGCTGTAATTGCTTATTAGTTCTTGGAGTATTTTTTTCAGTTTGGATTTTATGCATAGATTATTATGTCTTATATGAACAGTTTTACTTTTTCCCAATGTGTATACCTTTTATTTCCTTTTCTTTTTTCATTGCAATAGCTAGAACTTCCAGTATTCCATTACCTGAGACTTTCCAGATGTTGAAAAGGATTGGTGAAAGAGAGCATCCTTGTATTATTCCTGATTTTACAAGGGAAAGCTTTGAGTTTTTCACCATTTGAGTATGATGTTAGCTGTAGGGTTTTTGTATATTTCTTTAACAAGCTGAGGAAATGTTCCTCCATTCCTGGTTTACAGAGTTTTTATCATGAATGGGTGTATTTTGTCAAATGCTTTTTCTATATCTATTAACCTGTGACTTTTCTTCTTTAGCCTGTTGAGGCAATGGGTTACAAAGAAGAAAACACACACTCAAACCCAAAATGTTTTTTCTTCCTTTTTTTTTTGAGATATAATTTTGCTCTTGTCGCCCATGCTGGAGTGCAATGGCACAATCTCGGCTCACTGCAACCTCCACCTCCCGGGTTCAAGCGATTGTCCTGCCTCAGCCTCCCGTGTAGCTGGGATTACAGGCACCTGCCACCATGCCCGGCTAATTTTTTATATTTTTAGTAGAGACAGGGTTTCGCCATGCAGGCTGGTCTCAAACTCCTGACCTCAGGTGATCCACCCACCTTGGCCTCCCAAAGTGCTGGGATTACAGGTGTGAGCCACCCTGCCCAGACCCCAACAGAAGACTTCTCTTGTGACTAAATGTGTGGAGGGTTTTCCCCACACATCAAGCAAGCAGACACTTCTGCTTTGGACACCAGTTGGGTGTCTTCCAATTCAATTCCGACACCATCTGTAGCATCAGATTCCACTGGATGAGGGCTCAGTCCCACAAGACTATCCCCAGTTCAGACCCCAGTTGCAGGTCGAGGCCTCCAGAACTTCTGATTGGGTTCCTGTGACCTCCTCTTTGGATTTGATTAATTTGCTAGAGTGGCTCACAGAACTCAGAGAAGCATTTACTTGGCTTACTGGTTTATTATAAGGGATATTACAGAGGATATAGATGAAGAAATACGTAAGGCAGGGTATGGGAAAAGGGATAGGGAACCTTATGCCCTGTCAGGGCATACTATCATCTAGGAACCTCCATGTATTCAACTATCAAGAAGCTCTTTGGACCCAGACTTTTGGGTTTTTATGGAGGCTTCATTACATAGGCAAGACTGAGTAAGCCAAGCCATTGGCCATTGGGGATCAACTTAACCTTTAGCCCCTCTCCCCTCCCCAAAGGTTGGGGTATAGGGCTGAAAGTCCCAACCCTGTAATCATGCCTTGGTCTTTCTGGTGACCAGCCTCCATTTTAAAACTGCTTAAGGGTTGTCAGCCAGTAGTCAACTTGCTTGCATACGAAAAGACATCTCTCTAGAGATTCCAAGGATGTTATGAGTTGTATGTCAGGAAATGGATTTGGAGGCCAAATATATGTTTTATAATATCACAATTATATCAGTTGATTTTCAGATGTGGAACCTGCTTTGTTTAACTCTTTTACGTATTATTGGGTTTGATTTGCTAATACTTTGTTGAGGATTTTTTGTATCTTTGTTTATGAGAGATTAGTCTGTAGTTTACTTATAATGTCTTTGTGTGGTTTTCATATTAGGGTAATGCTGGCCTCATAGAGTGAGTTAGGAAGAATCCCTTCTGTTTCTGTCTTCTGAAAGACATGAGGCAGAAGAAATACTTCCTAATTAATTCTTCGAGAATTGATTTAATTTCTTCCTTAAATGTTTGGTAGAATTCATTAGTGAAACCATGTAGGCCTAGTGCTTTCTCTTTTGGATGGTTATTAATTATTGATTCAGTTTCTTTAATACAGGTCTATTTACATTTTCTGTTTCTTGTGTGAGTTTTGGCATATTGTCTTTTTTTTTTTTTTTTTTTTTTTGACAGTCTTGCTCTGTCACCCAGGCTGGAGTGCAGTGGCACGATCTCAGCTCACTGTAACCTCTGCCTCCCAGGTTCAAGCAGTTCTCTTGCCTCAGTCTCCTGGAGTAGCTGGGATTACAGGTGCCTGCTACCATGCCCAGCTAATTTTTGTATTTTTAGTAGAGACAGGGTTTCACTGTGTTGACCAGGCTGGTTTCGAACTCCTGACCTTAGATGATCTGCCCACTTCAGCCTCCCAAAGTGCTGGGATTACAGGCATGAGCCACTGCGCCTGGCCGGCATATTGTGTCTTTTAAGGAATTGGTTCGTCTCATCTAGGTTATCAAAATTGTGGTTCATAGTATTTTTTTTTTTTTAATTTTTTTAATGTCCACGAGATAAGTATAGATGTCCTCTTTTTCTGTTGTTAGTCATTTATATACCTTCTCTTTTTTTCTTAATTAGCCTGTCTAGGAGTGATTTGTTTTTTAACAAATTCGTTCACTGGAGGATATTTTAAATTTACCATAAATTAATTAGGCCTGCAAAGGCCAGTATTACTCTCTGTATTATTCTAATCATTGTTTAGCCTTTAAATAGGGGATTGTGTTTACTGTTTTTCCATTAATATCATTTGCCACTTTGTCAGGATACTATGATTAACAAAAATGGACCACAAATTTGTTTTTTTTGGCGGTTTGTCTGTATTCTCTCCTTACTCATGGGTTAGGAGTCACTGAGGTAGTAGCATGATGTAATGGAAGTAGCAGGGCATGGTGTTTGAAGGCAGAGGTAACTAGTCAGAATCCTAATACTAACATTTTGGCCTTCAACAATCTGCATGAGTCTGAGTTTCATCATCATTCAAAATGTAATAATGACAATATTTCAGTGTCGATATGAGGAACAGAAATGTTGAATGCTTTTGAATGTAGTAGGTGCTAAAGTAGGCATTCATAAATGGCGCTTGCTTTTATTATTTTTACTATTATGATTTATGATCATTAGCAGCATCAGCAATATTATTATTGGAAAAATCTAGGTAGGACTAGCATATTCAGCTATCAAAATTCTTTCATTAGCCGTTTGACATCTGCTTATATTGATCAAATGAGAGACAGCTCATGAAATGTTTCCTATCATAATGAAGTTTGATTTTGAGGGACTTTGAGATGGAGATAGACTGATGATACATGGATTTTTGTTTCTGGCCTTTTTTAATGGTTGTCATATGGGACCTCATTGTCCATTGCTCTGGCATCAATTTAAGTTTTGTCCATAGGCATCAATCATCTTTTAAGTGTAAAGATATGTTTAATGAAGCTAATGATGTCTGCTTTCATCTGTAATTAAACTTAACTTTAAGTGGCTGGGCATTACTATGACTCAGCTAAGAGCAATTTTTTGATGGTCGGCAATACAAAGTTCTTTAGGTCAAAAGGAGCTTCCCTAGGCAGAAGATTTTTGCTGTACCCTATGAAATCATCATAAGTAAAAGCAAATTTTCACATAAAAATTAATTCCAACACAGATTTGGGGGTCTTCACACATGATTTTATGAAAATGTTTTTTTCAACGTTTATCAGCTTAAAAATGGCAACTTAATGGATTAACCTCGAGGACATTATGCAAAGTGAAATAATCCAGTCACAGAAAGACAAATACTGTTTGATTCCACTTATATGAGGTACCTAGAATAGTCAAATTCATAGAGACAGAAAATAGAATGGTGGTTGCCAGGGAATCAAGGAGGGAGAAATAGGAATAGTTTAATAAATACAGAGTTTCAGTTGTACCAGATGATAAGAATTCTGTGAATGGGGCCGGGCGTGGTGGCTCACGCCCGTAATCCAAGCACTTTGGAGGCCAAGGCGGGTAGATCACCTGAGGTCAGGAGTTCAAGACCAGCCTGACCAACATGGTGAAATCCCATCTTTAAAAAAAAAAAAAAAAAGTTAAAAAACAAAATAAAATAAAAATAAAAAAGAATTCTGTGAATGGATGGTGGTAATGGTAGCACAACAGTGTGACTATACTTATGCCAAAGAAGTATATGTTTATGATGGTAAATTTTATATTTTGTGTATTTTACTGCAACTAAAAAATTACAATTTAGGCCGGGTGTTGTGGCTCACATCTGTAATCCCAGCACTTTGGGAGGTTGAGGTGGGTGGATTATTTGAGGTCAGGAGTTCAAGACCAGCCTGGCCAATATGGTGAAACCCTGTCTCTACTAAAAAATACAAAAATTAGCTGGGCATGGTAGCACATGCCTGTAATCCCAGCTACTCAGGAGAGACAGACACAAGAATGGTTTGAACTGGCGAGGTGGAGGTTGCAGTGAGCTGAGATTGTGCCACTGCACTCCACCCTGGGTGACAGAATGAGACTCTGTCTAAAAAGAAAAAAAAAAAAACAATTTATATATAGCAGTACATATTAGAATATCACAATAAGATAAGAAATGTGGAAATGTTTAGGCTCATTCTTTATATACATAGGATTGACTTATTTGGTGATCCTTATGATTGACTTATTTGTTTAGAGGGAGGACTGAGTGAGTGCTGAGTGGAGGATGATTTGTGTTTAATGAGAGAGAGAACAGAGAGACAGCAGGGAGAGGAAGAGAGAGAGTGTGTGTGTGTGTCTGTGTGTGTGTGTGTAAAAGAGTGGATAGCATTAGTACTTCTGAGGGCTGAAACAAAGTGGGGAGAATTAAACCTAGTAAAACATGAGAATTCAAAAGAATAGACCAAGTGAGTGATGAGTTAACTTTCCAAGGCCCTCAGACCTACTCCACTGCATTATCAGCCAACATAGTTGGATTGGATCATAGATATTACTGAAAAGTATGAAGTCTCTTTTAAAAACAATCAAGATCTAAAGAGTTGGATTTTTGTTACTCCGAGTGAAGTATGAATTATCTGAAAACAGGGTTCTAAAGAGGTAGCCTGTTTATTTCAGTATCTGGCAAATAAATATATTTTTACAAAACATGAAATACCTATAATAGCATCTGAATCTTTAAGGGTAAAATAATATACTTCAGCCTCTTAATATCTTCACTTCTTTCTTTTATTCTTTTTTTTTGAGACGGAGTTTTGTTCTTCTTGCCCAGTCTGGAGTGCAATGGCACTATCTCGGCCCACCGCAACCTCCACTTCCCAGGTTCAAGCAATTCTCCTGGCCCAGCCTCGCGAGTAGCTGGGATTTTAGGCATGTGTCACCATGCTTAGCTAATTTTGTATTTTTAGTAGTGATGGGGTTTCTCCATGTTGGTCAGGCTGGTCTCGAATTCCTGACCTCAGGTGATCCACCCACTTTAGCCCCCCAAAGTGCTGGGATTACAGGTGTGAGCCACTGCGCCTGGCTTCTGCACTTCTTTCTTGAGGTCAGAGGTCCTGTGTCTTTTGTTTCAGATATTAATAGCTGTAATTAATTGCTATTCTCTCACTTTTTTTTTTTTTTCTTTGCTTTTGAGACAGAGTCTCATGGTGTCACCCAGCTGCAATACAGTGGTGCGATCTCAGCTCATTTTAACCTCTACCTCCTGGGTTCAAGCAATTCTCCTGCCTCAGCCTCCAAGTAGCTGGGACTACAGGCACAAGCTACCATGCCTGGCCAATTTTTTGTGTTTTTAGTAGAGATGAGGTTTCACCATGTTGGCCAGGCGTGTCTTGAATTCCTGACCTCAGGTGATCTGCCAGCCTTGGCCTCCCAAAGTGCTGGGATTATAGGCGTGAGCCACCACCCCTGGCCTCAGTCTTTCACTTTTTTGATTTATGAAATATCAGAATATATGCCAGGTGACTTTTGGTAAACTGTATGTATTTAAGTAATATTTAAATATAAAAAAGCAACTTATTAGCCCTAGTCCCTGGAAACTTGATCTCTGTGTAACATACTTATGTAGTAAATATGTTCATTCAATAAACATATATTAAGTGTTCTCTGCGTGGCTTTGGTCTAGTAGGGTTCTGGGTTTCAGAAATAAGCCATAGTCCTTACCCACAAATAACTTAAATCTGAGAATAAAATTGGAGGGGCCAGTATCAATTACTGTCACCTCAAAAATGGAAAAGGCCATTGGAACAGGCCCACCTTATTTAGTGGTTTTAAATGGTATTCTGGTTTAACTATATACAGTCTGGGACCCATTAGTTGGGGTAGAGGGTAAAGAAAAGGTACTGTGGTATGTTTTCTCCATTTATAAACTACTGACTAATTTATATAGCCTTTTCTCATTTTTACTGGAAAAACCGAGCATTTAGGGAGATGATGGTCTTGTCCAGTATTACTGTTCCTCAGGATGGAGGCTAGAAATGAGGTCTGCTGACTGAATCTATTGTACCTTCCTACTTTATCGCATCTCTTTCTTAAGCCTCCTTTAGATAAAAGTCTCAATTACTTGTGGAAGTCAGTTACACAGTCATCTTATGGGATACTTTTCTTCTTGTAAAATAGCATTTTTTCTTCTCCTTCCTTAGGACAGTGAATTATCATTTATAATTAATAAGGTTTATAATCTTTATCAAAATGTAAGGGAAAGCTTTCTAATTTCTTTTTTTTTTTTTTTTTTTTTTTTTTGGTGAGGCTGGAGTGCAGTGGCGTGATCTTGGCTCACTGCAACCTCCGCCTCCTGGGTTCAAGTGATTCTCCTGCCTCAGCCTTGTGAGTTGCTGGGATTACAGGCGCGTGCCACCATGCCTGGCTAATTTTTTTTGTATCTTTAGCAGAGATGGAGTTTCACCATGTTGGCCAAGCTGGTCTGAATTTGTGATCCACTTGCCTTTGTGATCCACTCCCAAAGTGTTGGGATTACAGGCGTAAGCCACTGTGCCCAGCCCTAATTTTCCCTTTTTAAAAAATGATTGTCCAATTGATTTTTAGCCTTACCTGATACAGATAAATGATTAAAGATACTAGGTCCCAAAACAGTTCTGTTGATTTCCTTTGGGTGCACAGTCAGTAGGTATTATCTGTTTTGTATTTTTATATCTGTGATCCTTTGATGAAACTGCTGTTTTCGTTTTCTTTTTTTCATTTTGCTTCAGTATTCTTGGACTGGATGTGTTTTGATAGGCCAAGTAGGTAACATCAAATAACATCAAACGTATCACTTGGAGTTTGATGCTCTTAAGATATCCTTTTCTAGCTTTGGTCTTACAAATACGTTTTATTCATTAGTTTCTTGGCATCAAATTATACCATCATTCTAACATGTTCTTTTTGGAAGAAGTATTTCAGTATGTCTTTTAGGTAAATTCTAAAATGATACCACAGTATTTGGGCCTTTGTGTTGGATCACTTGAAATCTAATAATACAATTAATTTTTTTATGCAGATCTTTGATGGAAAACAGATTCCACAGAGAATGGTTGATGGATGGAATGCTTTTTTCTTTGATAAAACAGAAGAACTGGTAATTTAAAAATAGTCTTTATGTTGTAGAATGCTCACTGATATGTGTTAGGATTTGTATAATTTAATAATTTTACTTGGGTTTGCTGTCCATATTTTGGATAGTATAGACATTGTTCTGTTCTTTTCTTTTTTTTATATGTAGAAAAAGCGTTTACCTTCACTTGGAAAGAACACAGAATCATTAGGGGAGCTTTGGTTGGGACTGCTTCGTTTCTATACTGAAGAGTTTGATTTCAAGGAATATGTAATTAGCATTCGGCAGAAAAAGCTTTTGACAACTTTTGAGAAGCAGTGGACATCCAAGTGCATTGCAATTGAAGGTAGTAATTTAAGCTGATACTAATTCAGGAATAACCAAAATTTAGCCAAGGAAATTGAGGGAAAAACTGAAATACATTAGGATTTGGAAGATTCTTCCTTTTGATTTGTATCAGTTTTCATCCCTTAATGTGTAATTTTAGAGGAATAATTTGCTGATTTGTATAGTCTGAGTACATGTAAGTATTAGACTTTAGTAATGTCTACTAAGTACATTTTTATGGTACAGTGAATGTAATTCTTAATAATTGATATATTTCTTTTATAGACCCTTTTGACTTGAATCATAACCTTGGTGCTGGAGTTTCTAGAAAGAGTAAGTTTTAAATATAGAGATTCTCTGATTTTAAAACTTTGACACATTAATGTTTGCATTTTTATGGTTTTTTTCTTTCTTTAACAGTGACCAATTTCATCATGAAAGCATTTATCAATGGAAGGAAACTTTTTGGTACCCCTTTTTATCCACTCATTGGCAGAGAAGCTGTAAGTTTACATTATATGAATTGTGAACCTTTTCTTTTTTAAAATAGAACAAGAAACTTAATCCTGTTTCCAAATTGATGATACAGGGAAAGAGATGGTCATAGCTTTGTATATTTTTTCTTATTGCATTTATCATAGCCCATAATGAGATACACATATTTTTAATTTTATTTGTTAAATTCTGTCTTCTCCACTAGACTGTAAACTCCATGAAGACAGGATTCACATCTGTAAGGTTCACCTTTCTATTTCCAGTACATACATAGTGTTTGGCACATTGGATGTACCAAGTAAGCATTTGTTGAGTGAATGAGAGTTAGATAATCAAGACTCTGGATTGTTGAATTTTAGGCGCTGCTCATTGTTCCTCATTTATCTCTAGAAATCTTGGTGAAAATATACACAGAGAAGACAAAAGCAGGGAAAGACTTTATTATTTGTGGGGAGTTCTCTAATTTTTGTATAGCTTTGGTAAGCTGAATTAGATGGCATGGAACGGAGAAGTTTCCTTTTGCCTGAATTGGGTGGCAGAGTGTCACACATTCCCCTTTGTCTCACTCTGGTTTTTGCCTACTTTCTTATGGTTAGGGAGACTACAGGAGGTTTCAACTTCAGAGCAAGAGACTTAGAAGAAATCTCAAGAAAGGGAACAAATGTTATTAGGGTTCTCTTAGACAGACAGCGCTAATAGGAGATATATATGAGTTTATTAAGCATTAACTTACAAGATCTCAAGGTTCCACAATAGATTGTCTGCAAGCTGAGGACCAAGGAGAGCCAGTTCGACTCCCAAAACTGAAGAACTTGGAGTCCGATGTTTGAGGGCAGGAAGCATCCAGCATGGGAGAAAGATGTAGGCTGGTAGGCTAGGCTCATCTTGCCTTTTCAAGTTTTTCTGCCTGCTTTATATTCACTGGAAGATTATTACATTGTGCCCACCAGATTAAGGGCGGATGTGCCTTCTTCAGCCCACTGACTCAAATGTTAATCTCTTTTGGCAACACCCATGCAGACACACCCAGGATTAATAGTTTGTATCTTTCAATCCAGTCAAATTGACACTCAGATTAACCATCACAACAAACATGCATTTACATTACATAGTGAATGTCCTTGAACTTGTTCAGTCCAGTTTCAGGTGTCCACTTTCTTGAGGGTAGAATAAGAAAAGCAGAGAGAAGTCTTTTTTCCCTTGGAGCAATGGTTCTCAGATACTTTCTATTTTCTGTCCTCTTATGGGGGTGATAATAATTACAATGGAGAGAAATAATAAAATTTGAAACAATGCTCAAAAAATGTAAGAACAAAATGACTAAAAAAAGGAAAACTAAACAATAATTTTACCTTTTTTCTTTTTTTGAGACAGAGTCCTGCTCTGTTGCCCATGCTGGAGTCCAGTGGTGAGATCTTGGCTCACTGCAACCTCCGCCTTCTGGATTCAAGCGATTCTCTTACTCCCAGCCTCAGCCTCCCGAGTAGCTGGGATTTCAGGTGCCTGCCATCATGCCTGGCTGATTTTTGTATTTTTAGTAGAGACAAGGATTTCACCATGTTGGCCAGGTTGATCTTGAACTCCTGACCTCAGGTGATCTTCCCGCCTCAGCCTCCCAAAGTCCTGGGATTACAGGCATGAGCCACTGCGCCTGCCCTGATTTTACTAATATTTTAATTGAAATAGAAACAATGAAAAACAGATCAAAACATGTATGATGATACACTGTCAAAGCATTTTATCTGAGAATTGTGAGAATTCCAACTATCTGTGTTTATATATGCGAGTGTTGTATGCAGTCAGACCTTTTTGTTTATTTTTGTTTTTTTGATACAGGGTATTGCTCTTGTGCTCAGGCTGGAGTGCAGTGGTGTGATCATAGCTCACTGCAGCCTTAACGCCTGGGCTTAAGTGATCCTCCTGCCTTTGCCTCCTAAGTGCTAAAATTTCAGGCATGAGTCATCATGCTCAACACCATGTAGTGGCACTTTTTTTTTTTTTTTTTTTTAAAAGATGGAATCTCGCTCTGTTGCCCAGGCAATAATGCAGTGGTGCCTCCCAGGCTGAAGCGATTCTTCTGCCTCAGCCACCTGAGTAGCTGGTATGGCACAGGCATGTGCCACTACGCCCAGCTAATTTTGTATTTTTAGTAGAGACGGGGTTTCACCATGTTGGTCAGTGTGGTCTTGAACTCCTCACCTCAGGTGATCCACTCTTTTCAGCCTCCCAAAGTGCTAGGATTACAGGCGTGAGCCACTGTGCCTGGCTGAGACTTTTTAGTAGAATACTAAATTAGAGTCCTCAGTAAACTGGAAATGTGCCAATTTTAGTTTATGCATACAAATTTTTAGCAATTCTTAATAATGCAATATATTATAATTAGCCCTGAGTTACACATAAATATCAAAGTCTTTGGTCTTGAATGTCATTTGGGGCCTAGCAGAAGGGGCCCATGAGACTGCTAATCATTTTTTGATTTACTTTATTCTCTTTCCAAAGTCAGTATGTAGTATTCCATAACTTGGATATACTAGTTTATCTAACTTTTCTTTTGATGATCTTTTAGGTTATCTTCATTATATCAGTGTTATAACTTACACAGGTTGAGCTTCCCAAATCTGAAATCTGAAACTTACTGAGTACTGACAAGACTCTGAAAGGAAATGCTCATAGGAGCATTTCAGACTTCAGATTTTCTGATTTGGGATGCTCAACTGGCATAAATATAATGCAAGTATTCCAGAATCCAAACACTTCTGACCCCAAGCATCATGTATATTAAGGGATACTCAACCTGTATTGTCGAAAATGTTCTTGTACATAGTCTTTCATGCTTATACCTATTTCACTTATAGTTACTGAGATTATCATAGCATAGAAGATATATTTGCCTTATTTCCTTAAATTAATGAAAGATAAAGAGAAGTGTATTTCTTGTTCTTTCAATTATTTTTCTGCATAATTATATCTTCTTATATATTGACCCATTTTGTCCCTGTTCATCAGCTGTCTTCTGTCATTTTTCTTCCCCATTTAACTTAGATTTTGTCTGCTCTCTATCATATACCCTTTTTTTCTTCTTTTTTTTTTTGAAATGGAGTCTCAGTCTGTCACCCAGGCTGGAGTGCAGTGGTGTCATCCCAGCTCACTGCAACCCCTACCTCCGGGATTCAAGCGATCCTCCCGTGTTGGCCTTCTGAGTAGCTGGAATTACAGGCACAGGCGCATACCACCACACCCAGATAAATTTTGTATTTTTATTAGAGACAGGATTTTACCACACTGGCCAGGCTGATCTCAAACTCCTGACCTCAAGTGATCTGTCCAGCTTGGCCTCCCAGAGTACTGGGATTACAGGTGTGAGCCACTGTGGCTGGCCGTCTAGCATATACCTTAAATTCCTTTGTGCCGCTGTCCTTCCTGTGTACTCTTCTGTATTTTGCCTTATATGAATTCTGCTGTCCACCATGTGGCTCTGCTTGGGTAGCTGTACACTAATGGATAAAAGTCAAAAAGCTAGACAGTTTTAAGTATGTAGTACAATCATAAATGTTTAACCAGCCTCAACTGGACTTTCAGTGCTGTCTGACAGTCATATTTCTTTAGTTACCTTTAGCTCCTATTCTATTAGAACTATTTCAAATTTACTTATTTTACTTAAAATGCAGTATGCTGGCCAGGTGCAGTGGCTCATGCCTATAATCCCAGCATTTTGGGAGGCTGAGGCAGGCGGATCATGAGGTCAGGAGTTTTGAGACCAGTCTGGCCAACAGGGTGAAACCTCGTCTCTACTAAAAATAAAATAAAATAAAATAAAATAAAATAAAATAAAATAAAAAAATAAATAAAGCCTGGTGTGGTGGCGTGCACCTGTAGTTCCAGCTACTCGGGAGACTGAGGCAGGAGAATCGCTTGAACCCGGGAGCAGAGGTTGCAGTGAGCTGAGATTGTGCCAGTGCTCTCCAGCCTGGGCAACAGAATGAGACTCTGTCTCAAAAAACAAAACAAAAAAAATGCAGTATGCCCTGCACTTTGTCCCACCCTTTACCTCTCCCCTTCTCACTCCAGTAGATGCTTTTCCTCTGAGACAGTACATAGTATCAAATAAATAGTCCTTTAGCTTTCTGCTTCTAGATCTATAAATCTGCCTGCATCTGCAGGTATCCTTCCTTTATGAAAGATTAGTTTTTACATATGTACTCCAGATTATTCTGTCTGCTCTGTATCTTCAACCTCTTCATCTGTGAAAAACATTTTCAGTTAAAATACATAAAATGTAATGGCAGATCAACACTGACAGATGAACAGTTGCTATCAATTTGAATGATAGGGAATACTAACTTTGAACTCCAATTAAGTGAACTATTTTCTGCCTCTAAAATAATTATATTCTTATTAGTCAACTTATAAAAAATTATTACTATTAGCATATTTAACATTTCTTCAGTAATATTTTTTGTGGAAATCTGTTATATAAGTACCTATATTACATCTTCAATTTTTTCACAACACCTAAAATATTTACTGCTTGACTCTTTACAGAATAAGTTTGCTCGCCTCAGGTGTAGACCACCCTAACTAGGGTGTAAGGTTAGAGAAAAGTGAATTCAAGCGATAATCAATAATAGAATGGATACAACTTGGTCATTAATTAGAAGTAATAGGTGAAAGAGAAGAAGTTAGGATGCTTCCTAGGTTTCTGTCTTAAGCAACTGGGTAAATTTTTGTCCCGGCAAAAAAATAGGATGGTGATTTTAATTAGTTATATTGATTTATCATTAGTAATGAAGAATTATATCTCTCATCTTTAAAAAAAACACACACACACAGGATGGGCATGGTGGCTCATTCCTCTACTCTCATTGCTTTGGAAGCCCAGGGCAGGAAGATCTCTTGAGGCCAGGAGTTCAAGACCAGCCTGGCTAACATAGTGAGATGCTGTCTCTAAAAAACCAAACCAAACAGCTTCATTGGAATAGAGTCCACATTATGTACAACTCATTGTGCAATTCAGTGGTTTTTTATTAGTATAAATACAGGATTGTGCAAACATCACCACAATTTAATTTTAGAACATTTTTGTCTTCTCTAAAAGAAACGCTTGTCCCTATTAGCAGTCAGTTCTCCTTCCCTCTCTTCCCTTCTTCTCAAACTACTAATCCACTTTTTGTCTCTGTAGATTTGCCTATTTTAGACATTTCATATAAGTGAAATCATATGATATGCAACATTTTGAAACTGACTTCTTTCATTTAGCATGATGTTTTCAACATTCACTCATCCATATATCAGTACTTCATTCTCTTTTATAGCTGAAAAATATTCTATTGTATGGATAGACCATATTTTATTATTCATTCATCAGTTTTTGTACATTTGAGTTGTTTCTACTTTTTGGCTTTTTATGAATAATGCTGTTGTGAATATTTGTATGCAAATTTTTGTGGGAATGTATGTTTTCATTTCTCTTGGTATATACTTAATAGTGTAATTGCTGTGTTATTTTGATAAATTAACTTTTCAAGGAACTGTTTTCTAAAGTGGCTGTGCTACTGTACATTCCCACCAGTAAAATATGGGTTCTAGTTGTTCTGTATCCTCACCAATACTTGTTACTGTCTTTTTAAAGCTATAGCTGTCCTATTGGGCATGTCCCTTATACTTTTACCCTTGAGTTTAGGTAGATTTGAAGACAGCTAAGTGGACATGTTCTCTTGCCTTCTAGAAGGATGGACATCATTTAGGATCAACTAGTCTTTGTGACAGTGCAAAACTAAGCTAAAGTTTAGAAGGATAAGTAAGGTGCAAAGATAATGCAAAAATAAGTTTGGTTGTAAGACCTGGGAAAATTATTTACTTCTTTTTGGCTCCCTACCTTTTCTTTAGGTCTGCTCTTATTTACGTAATACATGTTACATGTTCTTAAAAAGCTGTATTAAATCCAATCATATATTGCTTCTTGACAGTTTGGCTAAGATCAAGTCTAAATTCAGTCATATTTCTTTTTTTTCCTTTTTTTTTTTTTTTTGAGACGGAGTTTCACTCACGTTACCCAGGCTGGAGTGCAATGGCGCGATCTCGGCTCACTGCAACCTCTGCCTCCTGGGTTCAGGCAATTCTCCTGCCTCAACCTCATCAGTAGCTGGGATTACAGGCACACGCCACCATGCCCAGCTAATGTTTTTTTTTTGTATTTTTAGTAGAGACGGGGTTTCACCGTGTTGACCAGGATGGTCTCGATCTCTTGACCTCGTGATCCACCCGCCTCGGCCTCCCAAGGTGCTGGGATTACAGGCTTGAGCCACCGCGCCTGGCCTCTTTTTTTTTTTTCTTTCTTTCTTTTTTTTTTTTTTTGAGATGGAATTTTGCTCCTGTTGCCCAGGCTGGAGTACAATGTCACAATCTCAGCTCACCACAACCTCCACCTCCCGGGTTCAAGCAATTCTCCTGCATCAGCCTCCTGAGTACCTGAGATTACAGGCATGTGGCACCACGCCTGGCTAATTTTGCATGTTTCGTAGAGACGGGGTTTCTCCATGTTGGTCAGGCTGGTCTCGAACTCCCAACCTCAGGTGATTCCTCCGTCTTGGCCTCCCAAAGTGCTGGGATTACAGGCGTGAGCCACTTCACCCAGCAGTTCAGTCATATTTCACATAAACCAGAGAATTGCTTGTTGTTGTTGTTATTTACTTATTTATTTTTATATTTTAGTGACAGGGTTTTGATACTTTGTCGAGGCTGGAGTGCAGTGGCTGTTATAGGCATAGTCATTATGCACTACAGCCTCAAATCCCTGACCTCAAGTGATCCTCCCATATCAGCCTCCTGAGTAGCTGGGTCTATAGGCTTTTGTTTTGTTTTGTTTTTTGAGATGGAGTCTCTCTCCGTTGCCCAGGCTGGGGTGCAGTGACATGATCTGGCTCACTGCAACCTCCACCTCCTGGATTCAAGCAACTCTCCTGTCTCTTCCTTCTGGAGCTAGGATTAAAGGTACACACCACCATGCTCAGCTAATTTTTGTGGTTGTTTTCTTTTTTTTTTTTTTTTTTTTTTTTTTGAGACAGAATCTTACTCTGTCACCCAGGCTAGAGTGCAGCGGTATGATTTTGGCTCGCTGCAGCCTCTGCAACCTGGGTTCAAGCAATTCTCCTGCCTCTGCCTCCTGAGTAGCTGGGATTACAGGCACCTGCCACTGCACCTGGCTGATTTTTGTAGTTTTAGTAGAGACAGGGTTTCACCATTTTGCCCAGGCTGGTCCTGAACTTCTGAGCTCAGCCTTGCAAAGCTCTGGGATTACAGGCGTGAGCCACTGCCTCCGGCCTAATTTTTATGTTTTTAGCAGAGATAGGGTTTCACCATGTTGGCCAGGCTGGTCTCAAACTCCTATTCTCAGGTGATCCCTCTGCCTTGGCCTCCCAAAGTGCTGGGATTACAGGCATGAGTCACTGGGCTGAGCCTACAGGCAGTTTTGTACAGAGAATTCCTTTCCAAAAGTAACCCAATGTAGCAGAAAGCATGAGTTTTGTAGTGAGATAGACTTAGCTCTAAATCTTTTATCTGAGACTTAACTTTTTTTTTTTTTAAACTATGGGTAAATTACTTGAACTTCTTAATCTTAGGTTTCCCATCTGTAAAGTGAGGGTGAAAATAGTATCTACTTTATTGAGATTTTTCTTATTCATCTGTAGCTTCTTTGTATAATGCCATACGAATGTAATTTGGTTAGTACTGTTAGCAACTGTGATGATGATTGTGAATCTTATTTTCATATCATGGTTTTAGTTACAAACTATTTGTTGCTGTTTATTTTCTTTGTAAAAATAAACCATGTTTTCATCTTGGTCTTCTTTCCAATTGAATTTAAAAGATTTTATAGTGATTCTTCCTAGTGAAACTGCATTTTCTCCCTAGGAGTACTTCTTTGATTCCAGAGTATTAACAGATGGAGAACTCGCTCCCAATGATAGATGTTGCCGTGTGTGTGGAAAAATAGGCCACTACATGAAAGACTGCCCTAAAAGGAAAAGGTTGGCAAGTGAATATATATAAACATTTTGAGGAAAATAAATCAGAGGCCAATTTGTAGCTATAATTATGCTCAGAAATGTTTAAGTGAGAAAGTTCAGGATATTAAATTATACCTAAGGTTAAATGTTCATTTGAGTGGAATTTTGTAATATGATAAGATTTATGTATGGTATAATAATATCTTCTAACATTCATTTGTTCATTTATTTATTAATCTCAGGTGTGTGTTTTGTTTTTTTTGAGACATGGTCTCAATGCTGTCACCCAGGCTGGAATACAGTGGTGTAGTCTCGGCTCACTGTACCCTCTGCCTCCTGGGTTCAAGCGATTCCCCTGCCTCAGCCTCCCACGTAGCTGGAATTACAGGCACACATCACCACGCCTGGCTAGTTTTTTGTATCTTTAGTAGACACGGGGTTTCACCGATGTTGACCAGGCTGGTCTCGAACTCCTGACCTCATGATCCACCCATCTTGACCTTCCAAAGTGTTGGGATTACAGGCCTGAGCCACCATGCCCAGCCAGTTTTTTTTTTTTTTTTTTTTTTTTTCTTTAAATTGAAGAAGCATTTCTTGACACCTACTATTTGTTGGAAACTGCTAGAAGCCAAGAAATAAAAGTGACCAAGATACTGGGTTCTTGCTGAGAATCTCAGTCATGCAGACCAATAATTAAAATACAATTAATGGAATTCTTGAGGTATATGCTGTGTTATGCTTAAAGATCTTAGGGAATGTACATCTATGTACCTCCTCAAAAATATATCTATGAATTATAGTATAGGTTCTGTATACTACGGTAGGTCAGGAAGGTCTGTTTCTTTTGTCATCAAGTCTGGCCTAATATGAAAACTTGGAAGTTTTGAAACAGAGCAAACTTCCAGTTTCCATCATTGCTATTTACTGACTATTAAATTTAGTCAAGACACTTACCTTTTCTTAGCCTCAGTTTCTTTTTAAAACTTGAGGTAATAAATATCAACCTCTAAGGATTGTTAAAGGTTTAAAATTTGATATTTAAAAAAACTTTAACATAATGTTGTTTTACAAAACTACTGGAAAACCCAGTTTCTGCCAAATGAGCAGGTATGCCATAAATGTTTGTTCCCTTGCCTCTAAAAAGATGCATGAAATGATGGGCATGTTAATCTTTTTGATATTGTGAGAGTCCTGCATTGTCTGTGACTTACTTAATTTACAAGTCCCTAGCCCCACATTATTGGTATCAGCAGTTTACTGTTTAGACTAAAGAAGAAAGACAGTGAAGAAGAGAAGGAAGGGAATGAAGAAGAGAAAGACTCCCGAGACACTGACCCCCGAGACCTCCACGACACTCGAGACTTTAGAGACCCCAGAGACCTCAGATGTTTTATATGTGGAGATGCTGGACATGTACGAAGGGAGTGCCCAGAGGTCAAGCTGGCCCGTCAGAGGAATAGCAGTGTGGCAGGTAAATAGAAAAGGCCAAACAGTTTCTGACAGAAATGAAGTCATATATTTTGATGTCATGCTAAAGGATCCTAATTCCTCTCTATTGCAAACCTAGTTGTATGATTTTGGACCACCGCGCCTGGCTAATTTTTGTATACTTCTTTAGTACAGATGGGGTTTCACCATGTTGGTCAGGCTGGTCTCAAACTCCTGACTTTGTGATTTGCCTGCCTTGGCCTCCCAAAGTGCTGGGATTACAGGCATGAGCTACCACGCCCTTATAATTTCTTTTTTTTTTTTTTTTTTGAGACGGAGTTTCGCTCTTGTTACCCAGGCTGGAGTGCAATGGCGCGATCTCGGCTCACCGCAACCTCCGCCTCCTGAGTTCAGGCAATTCTCCTGCCTCAGCCTCCTGAGAAGCTGGGATTACAGGCACGCACCACCATGCCCAGCTGATTTTTTGTATTTTTAGTAGAAACGGAGTTTCACCATGTTGACCAGGATGGTCTCGATCTCTTGACCTCATGATCCACCCGCCTCGGCCTCCCAAAGTGCTGGGATTACAGGCTTGAGCCACCGCGCCCGGCTGGTATACCATTCTTTACAAGAGATTTTGTTTTCCTAGAAACGTATTGGAGAAATTATATTTTTTCCCACTGCTGCTATGAGAGAGGGATATCTGTTCATGTTACATTTCACAAAGAATTTTGAGAATTAAATAGTAACCCAAGGAACAGTTTATTGAAAGAAAAAAGAGAACGTTTTAGAAGTGGTGATTTCCAGTTGCTCAGGTTTTTATTGCAGAAAGATTTTGTGTGTGTGTGTGTGAGAGAGAAGGTGGCGGGGGGAGACAGACAGACAGGGTCTTGCTTTTGTTGCCCAGGATGGAGTGCAGTGGTATGATCATAGCTCATTGCAGCTTTGACCTCACGGACTCAAGTGAGCTCCCCACCTCAGCCTCCCAAAGTAACAGGATTACAGATACAAGCCACTGCAGCCAGCCAGAAATTATTTCTCAACTAAATCTGTTGTTCCTTTTGAAAAGCAAAATGGCATTTATTCTTGTGTTTAGGATCAGTGTATTTTTTTCTTGATTTGCTAGATTGAAAAATGGCTTTTAAAAGTAGTTCAGTTGCTACAAGTCCTTCACTAATATACTTGTAGTTTAAAAGTCTAAACTCCCTTCTACAAAAGAAGGGAGTTTACTTATTGTCATTTCTCTGCTACTTTCCTTATCTCTTGATTTTCTTTGTGATGCCTTCTCTTAGCAGCCCAGCTGGTCCGCAACCTTGTAAATGCTCAACAGGTGGCTGGTTCAGCTCAGCAGCAGGGTGATCAGTCCATAAGGACTAGACAGTCCTCAGAATGTGTAAGTACTCTGTCTGTCAATGTGTTAGTCTTTGAGTGATAGTGTTTTCTCTCAGGCTGGCAAATAGAATCTTCCAGGTTACATCATGCTTTGTATAAATGTCCTTGCTAGGCACATAGATGGAATGGGTATTCCTTTTGGAATAATGTAGATCTGGGTTCCTGTCTATATACAAGCTACTTAATTTACATGAGCCTACTCTTCAATTGTAAAATAACTACCTAATAAGATGGATTAAAAATAAGATAATAACTTTGAGGTTTCAGACTTTGCTTAATGGAAAGATATCAGTACGATTAATAAAAATAGACATAAAAATTGAGATATTATAGGCATTTAGTGTTGTTAAGGCAGTATATACATGGCATTTTGCTTATGTGAAACTTGTGTCTTCTCATAGCTTGACATATTGATACCCAGTGAAATACACCCTGTAAAAAAACAATATTGAATGAGAATTAAGACTCATAAGTTTATTTTATTTATTTTTTCCTTTTGTTGAGATAGAGTCTCATTCTGTCGCCTAGGCTAGAGTGCAGTGGTGCGATCTTGGCTCACTGCAACCTCCTTACCCCTGGGATCATACAATTTTATGTCCATCTCCTGAGTAGCTGGGAGTCTAGGTGATGCCACCACAGCTAGCTAATTTTTGTATTTTTAGTAGACACGGGTTTTACCATATTGATCAGGCTAGTCTTGAACTCCTGACCTCAGGGGATCCACCTGCCTTAGCCCCCCACAGTGCTGGGATTACAGATGTGAGCCATTGTGGCCAGCCCACACATAAGTTTAATATTAAGTTTGCTGAGTTGCTTTTAACCTTTGTGTAAGTCTGCATTCACCTTGTACTTCTTAAATTAATTAATAATTACTCTAAATAGCACTCTAAATCTGACATAATGTTCAGCGCTTTACACTTAGCAAATTTAATCTTTCGAGTGGCCATGTGAGGTAATGGTATTAGGTATTAGTGTAATCAAATTTTATATATTGGGAAACTGAGAAAAAGAGATTATACAATCAAACCGAGGTCTTTCTGGTTTCAAATCTGTTAATCGTTTAACATGCTAATTCTAATATGATTTGTGTCTTAGAAAAAACTCTTAGAGTATTTGAAGAGTATTAGGGAGAATCTTTGGAAAATATTTAGGAAATTTTCCACCCTCACCTTACACACTTGAATACCTATTATATGCCTGATGCTTTCATAAACAACAATCACATTTAATGTAGTTAACGTTTGTTGAGTGTAAACTATGTGCTATACATACATTCATTCTTTGTGATTATATTTCAAAACTATGGAAAATAATAAATATCATTGTCAGGCTTTAACAGTTTTTAACATTGTTATTTTAGCTTAATTAAAAAGTTACCCTCCGTTGAAACCCCTGAACATTCTTCTTCAATCCCGTTCCTATCTTAAAACCTCAAAATCTCAAAACCTGAGGCAAATTCTGATTATACTTTTATAGGTAAAGGAACCGAGTTTTAAGTTTCGAGCCTGAGGTCAATAGACACCTGGAATCAGAACATGAACCCTCAGGCTCTCTGTAACCAAAATTTATGCTCTAACCATTTTTCTGTGCTGCCCTAATTTTCATTTTCTGCCTCTAGTCCTCACATTTTTCTCGCCTTTGCTTTTGGAAAGAGTATCTAATGGACATTGCTATTCTGATGTCTAATAATTAGCACCTGAACATGTCTAAAATGTAGTTAATCTTTCCTTCCAACCCGCAGGTCTTGCCTCTTTTTCCTGTGTTTTATATCTCATTGAATGATCTATTTTCTATCTCATTTCCAAAACTTTTCCCACTCCTTCAACCTCTATATCCAGTCACTAAGTCTTATTGTTTCTGCCTTTTAAAAAGCTGAATGTGGTGCCTCACTCCTGTAATCCCAGCACTTTGGGAGGCCTAGGTGGGCAGATCACCTGAGGTGAGGAATTGAGACCAGCCTGAATAACATGGTGAAACCCCATCTCTACTAAAAATACAAAAAATTAGTTGGACGTGGTGGGACAACCTGTAATTTTAGCTACTTGGGGGACTGAGACAGGAGAATTGCCTGAACCTGGGAGTTGGAGATTGCAGTGAGCCAAGATTGCACCACTGCACTCCAGCCTGGGCAACACAGTGAGACTCTGTCTCAAAAAAAAAAAAAAAAAGTATCTTAACAGCCATTTGCTTCCCTCTATCCCTGTTTATATTTCCTTAGCCTAGACTACTGTCATCTCAGGACTGCTGTATATAGCAGCCTCCTAATCAGTCTCAGCAGCCTTTTAGTTTTATTTATTTATTTATTTATTTATTCATACATTTATTTTTGAGACAGGGTCTTGCTCTGTTGCCCAGGCTGGAGTGTGGTAGCACAATCACAGCTCACTGCAGTCTCGACCTCCCAGGCTTAGGTGATTCTCCCATGTCAGCCGCCAGAGTAGCTGGGACTGCAGACATGTATCACCACATTTGGCTGATTTTTTATTTCTTGTAAAGATGCAATTTCGACATGTTGCCCTGGCTGGTCTCAAAATCCTGAGCTCAAGGGATCCGCCTACCTCAGCCTCCCAAAGTGCTAGGATTATAGGCTTGAGCCACTGTGCCAAGCCTGTCTTTCATCGGCCTTAAAAAAAAATTCTCTATTTTATTCTTACTAAACCACAATAATCTTTCTAAAGTGCATATTGACCATGTTCCTGACCTGTTTAAAACCCTTCAGTGAGGCCGGGCGCGGTGGCTCAAGCCTGTAATCCCAGCACTTTGGGAGGCCGAGGTGGGTGGATCACGAGGTCAAGAGATCGAGACCATCCTGGTCAACATGGTGAAACCCCGTCTCTTCCAAAAAATACAAAACATTAGCTGGGCATGGTGGCACGTGCCTGTAATCCCAGCTACTCAGGAGGCTGAGGCAGGAGAATTGCCTGAACCCAGGAGGCGGAGGTTGCGGTGAGCCGAGATCGTGCCATTGCACTCCAGCCTGGGTAACGAGTGAAACTCTGTCTCAAAAAAAAAAAAAAAAAAACCTTCAGTGGCAGGGCACAGCGGCTCACGCCTGTAATTCCAGCAGTTTAGGCGGTCGAGGCAGGCAGATCAAGACGTCAAGAGATCAAGATCATCCTGGCTAACATGGTGAAACCCCGTCCGTACTTAAAAGAAAATACAAAAAATTAGCTGGCCGTATTGATGTGAGCCCGTAGCCCCAACCACCCGGGAGGCTGAGGCAGGAGAATCGCTTGAACCCGGAAGGCGGAGGTTGCAGTGAGTCGAGATCGCACCACTGTACTCCAGCCTGGGCAACAGAGTGAGACTCTGTCTCAAAAAAAAGGTCGGGCGCGGTGGCTCACACCTGTAATCCCAGCACTTTGGGAAGCCGAGGTGGGCAGATCACAAGGTCAGGAGTTCAAGACCAGCCTGGCCAACATGGTGAAATCCCATCTCTACTAGAAACATAAAAATTAGCTGGGCATAGTGGCGTGTGCCTGTAATCCCAGCTACTCAGAAGGCTGAGGCAGGAGAATCGCTTTCGGAGGTTGCAGTGAGCTAAGACCGTGCCATTGCACTCCAACCTGGGTGACAGAGCAAGGCTGTGTCTCAAGAAAAGGAAAAAAACCTTCAGTGGTTTACCACCGCACTTAGGAGACAGTCTAAATTACAAGGCTTATAAGATACTTCATTGTCTTGCCCCTATTTAGGTCTTCAGCCTCAGCCATTACCCTGCCATTATACTCCAGTAATATTAAACTTCTTTCAGATTCCAATTACTTTAAAAAGGCGTGTGTTTTCATACCTCTAGACCTTCAGTCAAATTGAACGTTCTTCCTCTTCCCTTATCTCTAGGTTGTTGCATCAGACTGATTTATCTTTACCCTGAGTCTCAGCTTAAAGGTTTCTGGGAAGCTTTCCTTGATTCCTTTCCACCTCCCAAAGTGGTTTTAGGTGGCTGCTCTGGGATTTCATTATACAGTTAACTCTTGAACAAAACAGGTTTGAACTGCATTGGTCTACTTATACATGAATTTTTTTCAACAGATTGTGGTTGCAAAATACAGTAGTCCCAGGATGCAAAACCCAAGTATTCAGGGGGCCAACTTTTTGTATATGTGGGTTTTGCAGTGCTGACTGTGGGACTTGAGTATAGGAGGATTGTGGGGGTCCTGGAACCAATCCCCTGCATATCCTGAGGGACAACTATACACTACACGTTCTTTATCACAGTACTCATTATACTTATTGTGATTGCTTATGTAATCTTCATATGGTCTCCTCCTTATCCCCCATAAACGTTAAGCTCCATGAGGGCATACTTGTTGGTATTACATTTTTATTACCTAGAACAGTACTAAGTACATAATTGACACAGTTAATATTTGGGGAGGGACTAAATGAAAATGACTATGAGATATTTAGATGGAATTCTTGAGTTCGCAATGTGAAGTACGTGTTCTGCCCGATGGGAACCATGTCTGGGCTTTCTTTTCTTTGGACAATACAGAGATTTGTGAGGTAATATCTACTTGAGATGGGGATTTGAGTGCCTCTGGAAAATCTCATTATTTTTTATGATATACGTCATAGAATTCTGTTTATAAAGTTTTAAATTTTATATTTTTATCTCTACTTTTATAAAATTAAGATGTTTTGAAATTAATTTTAAAATGTGTGGTTTTTTTTTCTGCAGTCTGAATCACCATCTTATTCTCCTCAGCCTCAGCCATTTCCACAGAACTCTTCCCAGTCAGCTGCTATTACCCAGCCTTCATCTCAGCCAGGATCCCAACCTAAGCTTGGCCCACCTCAGCAGGGAGCTCAACCTCCCCATCAGGTCCAGATGCCACTGTATAACTTTCCCCAGTCCCCACCAACTCAGTATTCTCCCATGCACAATATGGGATTGTTGCCAATGCACCCTCTCCAGATCCCTGGTCCATCCTGGCCCATCCATGGTCCAGTGATCCACTCTGCACCAGGCAGTGCCCCCAACAATATTGGCCTGAATGATCCCAGCATCATCTTTGCACAGCCTGCTGCTAGACCTGTGGCAATTCCTAACACGTCTCATGATGGACACTGGCCACGTAATGTGGCTCCAAATTCCCTGGTGAACAGTGGTGCAGTGGGGAATTCAGGTAACCTTTTGTTTTCTTCCTTTGTAATCTGTTTGTCTGTAGAAACAATGTGAGGAAAAACAAGGAAAGCAGTATTTGTGGAGGGACGGTACAGGATTAGATAAAGATTTAAAAGTATAGACTCTGGATTCTGACTGCCTGGATTAGAATCCTGACCCTACCATCTATTATGTAGTTTGAGCAATTACTTAATCTCTTTGTGCATTGGTTTTATCTGTAAAATAGGGCATCTAACTTACATGGATGTTGTAAATGTTAAATGAGGTGTAATACACATAAATGATAGCTATTATTTTAGTATTTTTTAAAATTTTCACTGCCACCCTGTATGGTGTAGGTATTGTTATGTATACAGTTGATGAAATTGAAGAGTTAAGTAACTTAACTGTCTTACTGTCATGGTTAATAATGGTAGGTTGGCTGGGTGCAGTGGCTCAGGCCCGTAATCCCAGCACTTTGGGAGGCCAAATTGGGTAGATCACCTGAAGTCAGGAGTTCAAGACCAGGCCGGCCAACATGGTGAAACCCTGTCTCTACCAAAAATACAAAAATTAGCCAGGTGTGGTGGTGAGTGCCTGTAATCCCAACTACTTGGGAGGCTGAGGCAGAAGAATCACTTGAACACAGGCGGTAGAGATTGCAGTGAGCTGAGATTACAGCATTGCACTCTAGCCTGGGTGTCAGAGCAGGACCCTGTCTTAAAAAAAACAAAAATAAGGAAACCAAATAATAACAATAATGGTAGGTCCAAGATTTAAACTAATTTCTTTGTTCAAAACTGTGCTGCTTGCCCTAGACACTGTTATTTCTCATTAAGGAACAATTATTTAGGCCGGGCGCGGTGGCTCAAGTCTGTAATACCAGCACTTTGGGAGGCCGAGGCGGGTGGATCACGAGGTCAAGAGATCGAGACCATCCTGGTCGGCACGGTGAAACCCCGTCTCTACTAAAAATGCAAAAAATTAGCTGGGCATGGTGGCGCGTGCCTGTGGTCCCAGCTGCTCAGGAGGCTGAGGCAGGAGAATTGCCTGAACCCAGGAGGCGGAGGTTGCGGTGAGCCGAGATCGCGCCATTGCACTTCAGCCTGGGTAACAAGAGCGAAACTCCGTCCCCAAAAAAAAAAAAAAAAAGGAACAATTATTTAAAAAAGAAAAAATATTATTAACATTTAAAAAATAGTTTTTTTTTTCTGATATCTAAGTAATACATCTTCCTTGTAGAGTATTTGAGAAATAAATCATCTGTCATCTCAATTCCTAGACATAAATACTAGGAAATATTTTGGTATATTACCATTCAGTCATTTAAAAAAAATTGCCTATTTAAGAAAATAGTTGACACATGCCATAAATTGTTTTATATCCAGCTTAAAAATATACATATTTATAATATAAATATTTATACACACTTATACATGCACACACAGGCTAGCACAGTGGCTCACACCTGTACTCCCAGAACTTTGGGAGGCTGAGGTGGGCAGATCATTTGCAGCCAGGAGGTCGAGACCAGCCTGGGCAACATGACAAAACTTGTCTCTACTAAAACTACAAAAATTAGCTGGGTGTGGTGGTGCACACCTGTCATCCCAGCTACTTGGGAGGGTGAGTCAGGAAAATTGCTTGAACCTAGGGAAACACAGGTTGCAGTGAGTTGAGATCACACCGTTGCACTCCAGGCTGGGTAACAAGAGTGAGACTGTCTTTAAAAAAAAAAAAAAAAAGACACACCCACCTACATATATATATAGTGAGAGAAAGACAAAAATCTCACAGTGTTGTCCAGGTTGGAATGCAGTGGCTATTCACAGGCCAATCTAGCACACTATAACCTTGAACTTCGGTTTAAGTGCTCCTCCTGCCTCAGCCTCCTGAATAGCTGTGGGACTACAGGTAACCACTGCACCTGGCTTATGCTCAGCTTTTTAGTGATAATTATTTTTTTTAGGACCTATTATGGAGGCCGGGCGCAGTGACTCACGCCTGTAATCCCAGCACTTTGGGAGGCCGAGGTGGGTAGATCATGAGGTCAAGAGATTGAGACCATCCTGGCCAACATGGTGAAACCCCATGTCTACTAAAAAATACAAATAAGTATTTTTATACAGCATGTGGTGGTTTGTGCCTGTAGTCCCAGCTACTCAGAGGCTGAGGCAGAATTGCTTGAACCTGGGAGGCAGAGGTTGCAGTGAGCCGATATTGTGCCTCTGCACTCCAGCCTGGACACAGAGTGAGACTCTGTTTCAAAAATAAAAAAGAACTATTAAGGAAATTTTGAAACATACATAAAAGAGACCCCCCTCCCCATTAACCAGCTTTAACAGTTACTGATAATTTGTTGTTCTTTTATCTGACTCCTTACCATTAAAAATAATTTTGGCCAGCCAGGCACGGTAGCTTACACCTGTAATCCCAGCACTTTGGGAGGCTGAGGGGGGTGGATGACGAAGTCAAGAGATTGAGAGCATCCTGGCCAACATGGTGAAACCCCATCTCTACTAAAAATAGAAAAATTAGCCGGGTGTGGTGGCCCACGCATGTAATCCCAGCTACTCAAGAGGCTGAGGCGAAAGAATGGCTTGAACCCGGGAGGTAGAGGTTGCAGTGAGCCGAGATTGCGCCACTGCACTCCAGCCTAGCAACAGAGCGAGACTCCTTTAAAAAAAAAAAAAAAAATTGGCTTTGGCCGGGAATGGTGGTTCATGTGTGTAATCCCAGCACTCTGGGAGGCTGATGTGGGCAGATTACTTGTGGTCAGGAGTTTGAGAACAGCCTGGCCAACATGGTGAAACCCTGTCTCTACTAAAAATACAAAAATTAGCTGGGCGTGGTGAAAGGCACCTGTAATCTCAGCTACTCAGGAGGCTGAGACAGGAGAATTACTTGGACCCAGGAGGCGGAGGTTGCAGTGAGCCAAGATTGCACCACTGCACTCCAGCCTGGGTGACAGCAAGACTCTGCCTCAAAAAATATATATAATAATAATTTTGTCTTGACTGATAAAATCTCAGACATTGGATCAAATTTGCTTTTTAACTTTGGTTTTAGCATTTAAAAAAACATCAGGTCATTACCACACCTAGTATCATCTAATATCTAGTCCTTGTTCATTTTTTCCTGTTTGTCTAAAAAGTTTTTTTTTTGTTGTTTGGTTTTTTTTTTTTGAGAAGGAGTCTCCCTCAGTTGCCAAGCTGGAGTGCAGTGGCGCAATCTCGGCTCACTACAACCTCTGTCTCCGGGTTCAAGTGATTCTCCTGGCTCAGCCTCCCGAGTAGCTGAGACTGTAGGTGCTTGCCACCATGCCCAGCTAATTTTTGTATTTTTAATAGAGACAGGGTTTCACCCTGTTGGCCAGGTTGGTCTTAATCTCTTGACCTTGTGATCCGCCCACCTCTGCCTCCCAAAGTGCTGGGATTACAGGTGTGAGCCCCCATGCTCAGCCTAAAAAAGTATTATTCTTACTGATTTATTTGAATAAAGATTCAAACTGCGTATTTGATTTTTATAACTCTTAACTGTCCTTTAGATCAGTTGCTGCTTCTATATTCTTTCCAATATTAACTATTTTTTGAAGGGACTGTAGGAATTCCCATATTCTGGAGTTGACTGCTTATATCTTTGTGGCATCATTTAATGTGTACCTCTGTCCCTGTATTTCCTGTAAACTGGGATTTAGATTCAGAGACTGGGTTAGATTCAGGCTCTTTCTGTTGGTAAGAATACTGCTTGGTGGGTCCCATGTATTTCCAGTTTTTTCACTTTTGAAGGAACTTGCTGTCTGGTTATAACTATTTTAGTGACTTAAGATTGATTTGTGAATTAGGTTTTATCAGCCTCTTTTATCCATTATGTTCATCAATTTTTACTTAGTAGCCTTAGCTGCCATTGATAATTGTGGCCAGTATCCATCATTTTGCTGTCTCCAACTTTTTTTGGAACAATACAAATAAGATATTTTGCTGAGCAAAAATGCCAGAATATGGAAACTTAATTAGATTTCTAAGATGAAAAGATATGTGGCACACGTGGTTCTTCTCATGTGTCCTTCTCATATATCATTTTACACGTTTATTGTGTATATGCCGTGGCAGGCACTGTGATAGTCATTGAGTTATATAACCATGAAGACAGACCCAGTGTTTCGCCCTTTGACCAAAATTCTTCCTTTTCCCTGCCGCTAATTACTCTCAGTGTTTTTGTCACAATGAACTAATTAATGTTCCACAAACATACTGTACTGTCTCTTAACCCTGGTGATGTATCTAAGTTGTTCCTTCTGCTTAGAATGTCCTCTCTGTCACCTCCGCTGCTCACTCACACGTCCTTCTATGCTGCCTCAAAGCTTGGCTAACTCACTTATCCTCCATATTTAAATTTAAATCTCTTTCTTCAGGAAGTCCTCCTTATTTCCTTAATATCCATATCATTACATTTGTCTTACTGTGTTGAACTTGTCTGTTTACTCATCTGCATAACCCATTAGACTGAACCAATAGAGGCAAAAATTAATTTTTTTTTTGTCTTTTTCTCTCTAGTAACGTGTTTAGTTTTCTCTTTAGTAGCCTGCTGTGTTAGATATATTAATCCTTTTTATAATATTTCTTTTTTTATTTTTTTTATTTATTTTTTTTAAGGCTAGTCAAGTGAAGCAGTGGGAGTGGAGAAGAAACAAAGAAATCTGTAACTGGTTGTGATCAATTAGTTGTAAACACCACTGCACTTGGACCAGCCAATCCTTTTTATAATATTTCTAATAAGCTATTAATAAATATTATTTGTTGTATAGGTACCCAATTCGTAATTAATATTTCATCCACAGTTACACTGTGTTAAAAGTGGAAGGACTAGGGGCCAGGCAGGGTGGCTCACACCTGTAATCCCAACACTTTGGGAGGCTGAGCCAGACAGATCACCTGAGGTTGGAAGTTCGAGACCAGCCTCATCAACATGGAGAAACCTCGTTTCTACTAAAAATACAAAATTAGCGGGGCATGGTGGCACATGCCTGTAACCCCAGCTACTTGGGTAGCTGAGGTAGGAGAATCGCTTGAACCAGGAGGTGGAGGTTTCTGTGAGCCAAGATTGCACCATTGTACTCCAGCCTGGGTAACAAGAGCAAACTCTGTTTAAAAAAAAAAGAAAAAAAGCCGAAGGACTAAATGGAAATATATTAAAATAATAATAATCATAGTTATATTAGAGAAGGAGATTATGTGAGTTTTCCCCCCTATTTTTGAAATATTGTATTGCTCATTTTAAGGAAATTTTGGGTTATGAAAAACTTCCAAGGTAATTGGAATATATCCTTTAAAAATACCCTTTTATGTTAAAACATCATTTCTCATTGGTTTTGACCTAATTCTGGGTATACCCAGTTTCATTTATTTTTGTAAACCCCGAGTACTTCAGCTTCAGCCCTTAGTTGTAACTTGGCTTTATGAACTCACAGTGATCTAGCTGTTTTGCTTACCTCCTGAGACAATTCAGCTTACAAAAATGCAGTTCACATGGGCTTTAGTTTTTTTGCGGCCTACTCTTTCCTATCCCGTACTTCCTAATTCGAGCTTCTGCTAGGAAGTTTAGTGAGTAAGGGCAGCGTCTTTTAGTTATTCCCTAGCACATTGTGACTTTGAATGAGAAAAGCCACCAGAAATGATCTAGAAGATAAACTGGTTACTGTACTTCAAAAAAGGTACTTAAAGATATATTTTAAAGGGAAATGGAAAGATTTTGGGGGATAGTTGGACATAAAAATTATAGGCCTTGTATTTTTTGAGTAATTACCTATATGCTAGATCTTGTACAAGCTACTTTCTTTTGGTTATCCAATTTAAGCCTCATAACAATCTGAGGTTCAAAATGGAACCTTAGTAGTTTTAGGAAATGAGATTTGAGCTTAGACGTGTTTGGCCTCAAAGCCAAAGTTCTCAACCATTACACCCCAATGCCTCAAGCTTCTAATAGGATCTCCTTCTAGGCCAGGATATAATTGATTCTGGGATAGTTGGCACTGTCTTTAGGATAAAATCTAAAGTTCCTTCACATGATATATTCTAAGGTTTTTTGAAATGTGTATCCCCACCTGCCTGTCCCAATTGTGGATTATTCTGCAACTTGCTGTGCTTTCAGAGTTTTATACATGAAACTCCTCTCTAAAATGCTCCCCCCTCCCGCATTTTGCCTAAATTTTTCCTTTTTTAAAAAAACTCATTTTAGTCAATCATCTTAGGAAGACTGTCTTTAACCTTCAAAGACTGGGTTAGCCCTCTCTACAGAACATTTTGCCTGTTCCAGCAATTATTAGATATTATTGTATATATATCTTCTTGTATGTCACTTATGAATAATTTGAGCAAATAACAATGCTTTATTCTTGCTTGAACCAAGGAGACAGAGGTTGCAGGGAGCTGAGATCATGCCACTGCACTCCAACCGGTGTGACAGAGTGAGACTTTGTCTCAAAAAAAAAAAATTTGTTTGGTATTATCTGCATTTAACATAGTTCTTATCCAGTGGTAGGTACTGAATATATCTTTGTGGAATGAAGGGATATTTCAATGAACGAACTAATGTTTTTAAATGTCTTTTTCCTTTCTTGTTGAAATGCAGAGCCAGGCTTTCGAGGACTGACTCCTCCAATTCCTTGGGAACATGCACCACGTCCCCATTTCCCCCTTGTCCCAGCTTCGTGGCCTTATGGTTTGCATCAAAACTTCATGCATCAGGGAAATGCCCGATTTCAGCCCAACAAACCTTTCTATACTCAAGGTACCATTGCTTACAAATAAGTTAACATGTTTGGGTGGGTTTTATTCTGGGATAGAGAGCCTTAGTGAAGACCAGGATCTGGGAGTGAAAATTCATGAATTCAGTAAATATTTACTGAGAGATCATACTGTATGTCAGACCCTGCTAGGTGCTTGTTGCTCAAGCAAGAGTAAAACAAAAGCTCCATCACTTGATGCACATTTTCTTAGGAAAACCAGACATGTTAAATAGAAAAGGAGTTCAGATGAATCAGTTAACATTGCCTTAGCAAATCCAAACGGGATATGGATATAAGAGATTATTAATAATCACAAGATTTTGACAGTTGAGCTAGATCTTGAAAGAGATGCAGAAATGTTTTTTTGCCTAGCGATTAGAGAGGAGGAAGAGTATGCTTAGCTGAGGGATTAATATGTGTAGTCACTGAGTTTGCCTGGCATGATGAAGGACAGAAAATAATAGGGCTAGAGGATGGAGGTATATGAGAAAGTTGATGATAAGACTAGAGAGAGTAGGCTTTGACCATATTATGGAGTTTGGACTTGGTTTACTGAGCAATGGGGATCTAATGATGGAGTCTTGCTCTGTTGCCCAGGCTGGAGTGCAGTGGCACTGCCTCCCCAGGTTGAGCGATTCTCCTGCCTCAGCCTCCCAAGTAACTAGGACTACAGGCGCCCACTACCAGGCCTGTAGTCTTTGTAGTTTTAGTAGAGACGGGGCTTCACCATTTGGCCAGGCTGGTCTAGACCTCGTGATCCGCCTGCCTTGGCCTCCCAAAGTCCTGGGATTACAGCTTGAGCTGCCGCGCCTGGCCTGTTGAAAGGTTTTTAAGGGAACGAAGACATAATCAGATTTATTTAGTAAATGTAGGACTTGAATGACATTTAAATTTGTTATGCTCTGCTGGTGCTATTGTAGTACTAGTAATGGCTTTGACTGGGTAATGAATATTATAAACTAAGAATTCCTAGAAACTTGGAGCATTTTATCTAACCTACTTGCTTCAGAAGTATTTGTTCTTACAGGCATTGTCTGAGTCTGGCCTTCAGCTCCTTGTTAACCTATTTCAGAATACTTGGGATCAGAGTCAGTATAGTTAAATGAGGAGTTTAAGAAGTTAAAACAGGCACTCAGGAAATGCCGAGTGAATGAAATGATAACTTGAAGGGGAGGTACCTGGTATGGTCTCGGGCTTGTTATATTTAAGCCTTCTTTTTTTTTTTAAAGGCGGAGTTCTTGCTCTGACCTCCAGGCTGGAGTCCAGTGGTGCGATTTCAGCTCACTGTAACCTCTGCCTCCTGGGTTCAAATGATTCTCTTGCCTCAGCCTCCTGAGTAGCTGGAATTATAGGCATACACCACCATGCCTGGCTAATTTTTGTATTTTTAGTAGAGACGGGGGTTTCACCATGTTGGTCAGGCCAGTCTTGAACTCCTGAACTCATTATCTGTCTGCCTCAGCCTCCCAAAGTGCTGGGATTACAGCCGTAAGCCACTGTGCCTGGCCTATTTAAGCTTCTTAAACCACCCATGTACTACTAAGGCATCCCTTTAGTATAGAGTGGCAGTGCCTTGACTATAGTTGGGTTCTTCTCTTGAGCAAATAACTGGGGATAAGGGAAGTTACTATTAGTCATAAGCCCTTTAAGGAGGGGAAAGTCCGTAGCTCCTCTCGAGTGAGTTTTTTCCCTTTGATTCTTCCTCTCCATCTTTTGTGTCCTCTCCTTTTTTCACATACACATATTTCCTTCCATCTTCCTTTTTCTCCCCACCCTCTCAAATGTTTTGGCATGCTTCATCTCCTCCTAGTATATAAATAGAAAAAAAAAAGCTAGTTAAAAGTTAATTCTAAGGTGTTGTCAGATAAACAGGCACAAGCCTTTCAGTTTCCTGTCTGTGTTGTATCCAACAGACAGATGTGCCACCCGTCGGTGTAGAGAGCGTTGTCCCCACCCACCAAGAGGAAACGTGTCGGAGTAATGCGAGTCCATTTTCTTTCAGCTGGTCTACCGATGCACAGCAACCAGCCAATCCTGCTGTCTCAAGGGTATCCGTACCTCAATGTCAGTTACATTCAGCAGAAAAAGTGACATTTAATGGAAAGCAAAACAAATCAGGTCCTGATTTAAATTTTAACACATTTAGATAGCTTATTTAAATTCTAAGACTGTTTTTACAGACTGTATTATTTGTATATAAATATGAACTATAGTTTTTACTGGTATCACCAAAATGAGTGATACAAATTTCATCTATTTTATTACCCTATTTTTAAGGGAATTTTATGTTTTGTTTAACCTTGATGAATTGTATAAAGAGAGAATTTAAAAAATTACATTCTTTATTTTCTATTAGCTGTATTCATACTTTGGTTGCTTCAGACTTTATATATTGTTCTTAAGAGTTAGGAAAGAATTTCATGTGTTTTAAATTTGTCACTTCTATTCTTTACAGAACCTTGTAGTGCCAAAAACTTTTTAAAAGGTAAAAAAATAAAATAAAATTACAACATGAAGATTCAGATTTTTTTTCTTTTCCATACTTGTATGTTGAACATTCAAACTTGAACGGAAAGTTGATTTTGTCTGTATTTGAAGTACTTCTATTTTAAGTTAATAAATCTTTTTGACAAGAGTCACATTTGGTTAATTCATCTGTTGTATAGATGATGGAAATACTGTGTAACAAGATTTGTTTTAATTTCAGTGAATAGAGCATTCTAAATCACAGATTTTAGTTTTAGAGATTCAAGTATCATTTTATGTCCTATTTGGTTGGATTTTCACAACACCCATATGAGGTTGATAGAAGCAGAAGCCATCTCCATTTTATCTTTGAAAGTGAAAACTGAAACGCAAAGTGATAAATTCCAAAAAGCATAATTATATGCTGCAGTCTGAATTGAAACGTCTTTGGGAAGAGAGTTTTAAAACACGGAGACTAATATTGCAATTAGAGTGGAGGGAAGGTAAGTCTTTTTTTTTTTTTTTTTTTTTTTGAGACAGCGTCTCTGTCACCCAGGCTGCAATGCAGTGGTGGGATCTTGGCTCACTGCAACCTCCACCTCCTGGGTTTGAGCGATTCTCCTGCCTCAGCCTTCTGAATACATGGGACTACAGGCACACACCACCACGCCCAGCTAAATTTTATATTCTTGGTAGAGACAGGGTTTCAGCATGTTAGTCAGGCTGGTCTCGAACTCCTGACCTCAGGTGATCCACCTGCCTCCCAGAGTGCTGGGATTACAGGCATGAGCCACCACTCTTGGCCCAGACTCTGTTCATTTTGAATCCTATACTTCCACCTGGTAAGCACACTTGCCAAGATGATAATTGTTTTCTAGTAATACTTGGGATTAATTATTATTGGGTATTGGGATTCAGACTCGAGTTGGTGGTGGCATAATTTTTCAGCTGTTTTAGCAGTGAGGTGAGGTAATTTTCTCTGGGCCCTTAATTAGCCCATCCAGTTACCTGGGGTCTTAAGCTAAATGATGCTATAGATCTATTTGGAAATGTGCAGAATAAGTAGGTAAAAATGTATTTTAGGGACAGTGTATTATCTTTGCTTTGCTCCCTGTGATACACATTACTTAAATAGGAGACTGCTTGGGCCCTTGCCATATTTCACAGCATGGAAGATATTTGAAACCTATTGCAAGAGGTTGAGGGTATTCGTGCCGTATTTATAGCCCTGAGTTAAAGTCAGGTATATTTACTATTTTTTTTCTGATTAAAGCTTCAGCATCCTTCAGAATCCTGTTTAAGTGGTGGATTTAGATCATTTGTTTTAAGAAGATACCTGACCCAACTATGCATTTATGTTAAAATGACTTGGAGCATTCAAGATTTAAATTAACATTCAATACTTCACATCCTTCCACGTCTTGGAGAACAGGTAATGATGTATAACAGGGGTGTTTATTACTCTCTTTACTTTTGTACATACAGTAGGTCCTCCATATCCTTGGGGTTTGCATCTGTGGATTTAACTAACCATGGATTGCAGATACAAAAAAAAAATTGTGTCTGTATTGAACTTGCACAGTTTTTTGTTATTCCCTAAACAATGCAACAACTTTTCTTACAGAATTTACATTGTATGAGGCATTATATGTAATCTAGAAATGATTTAAAGTATAAAGAAGGATGTGCATAGGTTATATGCAGACTACACTTTTGTATCAGGGACTTCAGCGTCCTCAGATTTTGGTGTATCTGCGGGAGGTCCTGGAACTAGTCCTCCACCAGATACCAAGGAAGGATAGTATTTGAAATATTCATTAAAAAGAAAACAACTAGCAATAACAGAGAATGCCCCCACCCCTCAGCCTTTCTTAAGGAAGGCAATATAATACCACTTGGCAGAAGCTATTAACTGACAACCTAGTAACCAATAACCTAGATTTTACTGTTGTGATGGTGTTATAGATACTAGTTTTCCGCATCTCATTTGCCTCTCCTTCAGTAGGGGCAGTGTTCAACAATTGGCAAAACTGTTCTAAGTTGAAAAAGAGAATATAGTTTAAAATTGATACAGTAGAAGCTGACATTTTAAGTTTGCAAAGTCAGTTGAGTTCACATTTATTGTAAAGCAGTTTAGAAAATTATCAATCTTATACAGGGAGAACACACACATTTAAGACCAAATTGTTTTTAAATGTTTTGTTTAATAATATGGAGATTATTTTCCCTTGACATTAGGATTATTAAAAATATAAATATTTATGATGTACTGTGTTTATATCCCCTACAAATGGACATTTTTGCTGTTCCCAGTTTTTCTCATATATATGTAACGTAAAATGATGGGATAAAGCTATTTGTGTGTACATGTAATTATTCTATTAGGGTGAATTCCTGTAAGTGGGATTACTGGGTAAAAGGATCAAAAGTTCTAAGGTTCCTGCTACAAATTGCCAAACTGCCCTTCATAAAAGTGGTTATCAATTTGTACTTCCAGCAAACAATATGTAAAATGTGTTGGTATGCTTATAAGAAAGCTTTTAACTCTCAGCAACCCACTTTTTGCTTTGTAAAAATTAACATGTTTATTGCAAAAAGAAAATAAGCATTATGTAAAAGTACAAAGTATAAAAATCACTCAAAAGTTCATCAGCCAGAAAGAAGTACTACCTGGTGAACTTCATTCATTCCAACCATCCCTTAATCATGTAGACACATATATATACAAATAGTTTTACGAAAATGGGCTCATATGCTGTATTTAGTAAATGTAGCAAATTAAAAGGAAAACAAGTGTGAAACAAGAAATGCTCAACTTACTTTTTTCCCCACAAGAGAATCTAGTCTTGTAAGATTCCTCCTAAAACTAAGGACAGTTATGGAAAACAATAACAACGCTATTTTTTTCTAGTTTCATGTATGTTTTAATGGGAGTCCTGCTATGAAAGATGAAACCTGCATACTTTTATTTCTGTATAGACAGTGTTCATAATATTTAACTTTGACCTTATAATAATTGCCTGTTATTTTTAAAACTTCTGACATGTTTACTAACATTCCTTTTACTGATTCTTTCTTAAGTTCTTAATTTGATTCATTTCTTCTTTAGTTGAATTTCATTATTGGGCAGTTTTTTTCCCAGAGGCTCATGATTTGTACTTCTAAGTTCTTACAAACTTGAGAACATCTATAGCCTTTGTGTTTTAAGACAACTTTGGCAAAGTAGAAACTTTCTGGCACACTTTTTCTCAAGCCTTTGGAGCCTTTTGCTTCATTGCCTTCTTTTTATAAGATCTGAAACCATCCTGACCCCATTTAATTATTTTAAATCATCAGAATATTTCTCTACATATTTCTCTTTATTTTCCATTTTTTATTTCTTCCAGCCTATTTTCTCTGTGCTGTTTTGTGGTTTCTAATAAGGCCTTTAAACTCCACCGATCTTATTTTCCATCTCTTAATCACTTTTGAACCTGTGTGTATATGTGTGTGTGTGTGTGTGTGTGTGTGTGTGTGTGTGTGTGTGTTTTTAAGTCTGTTGTCTTTTTTGGGTCTGTGGAGAATTTCAAATTAACCTGTTCGAGGGAGTGGGCAATCTGTGACAATTTTCTAAATAATGCTTAAACTTCAGTCAGTCTACTTAAGAGTAACAGGAAGAGAGGTTAGAGGAATGAACTTTTAAGTTGGGTTGTTATATTGGAACCCTCTCACCAAATCCATTATTTCTTCTGCCCCTTGGAACACATTTCCCTTAATTTCTTAGTATTAAAAAGTGATTGTGCCCTATGGCAAAGCTTTTAAGGCAGTATATTTCAAATTATTGGAAGTACAATCAATTAAGTTTTGGATGCAATAAATTAATATTTGCATCCAATATTAATATTGGATGTAATTAAGTTAATATTTGCATCCAATATTAAAAACTGTTACCGAGTAGGAAATACGAGAATTCACTTTGCATAATTCTTTCCTTAAATTTGTCTTAGTACAGAATATAGATATGTGTATACAGAGGTAAGATGCAAAATAACTTTTTAAATGTATGCTGTAGTCAAAAAGTTTAAAATGCTTCGTTCATAGGCAAGCACATAGATGACAGAAATAGCCTTACAGCAAGGTTTGTCCTTAAGCTCCATCTCCTGTGTAATTTTATCAAAGTGACATCTAGAGACATTCAACAAGTTTTACTTCCTAATTAAAGAGTAGGGACATTCTCCTTCCTGCTATTGGTTGGCTGTGGTACCTCACATTTTACCATATGTCTAAACAAGTATATTTTATTTAATATTTAGGGAGATTTATTTCTTTTACTAAAATTTGTTGCATCTTTGTGTGTTGGTTTATTTTTACTTTAAATGATATTTTAAGATAAAGTTTTATTTTTGATATGGAGTCTTGGTTTGTTGCCAGGCTGTAGTGCAGTGGTGTGATCTTGGCTCACTGCAACCTCTGCTTCCTGGGTTCAAACAATTCTCTTGCCTCAGCCTCCCAAGTAGCTGGGATTACAGGCAGGCGCCACCAAGCCCAGCTAATTTTTTGTATTTAGTAGAGACAGGGTTTCACTGTGTTGGCCAGGATGGTCTTGATCTTCTGACCTTGTGATCCGCCCGCTTCGGCCTCCCAAAGTACTGGGATTACAGGTGTGAGCTACTGCACCCAGCCTAATTTAAAGTTTTAAGAGTGTACTAGATGACAGCTTGGTTGGTCCATGGTCATTTAGCCAAAAGACATTTCTATCTAAATCACTTTGATAAAGAAATAACTGCTAGGATACTGTAAAGCATTTACGTAGAGATGGCTATATTTAAATTTAAAAGGTAGTCCTATATAATTGTATCAGAAACCATAAGAGCTCTTTCAGACTTTTACTAACTCAGATGTTATGAATCACTGAATATGAAAGCTCAAATAATATTTTAAAAAGCTTTAATATTGCTGCAGAAGTCTTTCAGTTCAAGAGCAGGCAATAGAATGCATTGAATGTTTACCTATGACCAGATATAACTTCCCAAGAAAAACTGGATCCTGTAGGACAGCTGGTTTTCGCAGTTCCTGCTGGGACTACAGTTGCAGGGAGTCAGTCACTTTTTTTTAAGGGAGTTAAGTACTGGTAAAAGGAATTCTTCTAGCAAATATCTCATCTCTTGATTATCAATGTCCGTGGCGACTTTTTAGTCCTTACTTTGCTTCTGCATTCTTGACCCTTAGCTTCCTTCACCTACTCTCTCCTAATTCTCCTGTCTTTCTGAATGGGTCATTCCAGTACTTCTTCCTGTCACCAGTGTTGCCTATGGTTCTCTTGTGTGCTTTTCTGATATAAACACTCTCTGGGTAGTCTTAATGACAGATTCCACAATTACTTAAAATATTGTCAATTCTGGCCTATACCACTATGTTAAACTCTGGTCCCTATCTCCAACTTTATGGGCTTTTTTTTTAAGCTATACCATAGCTGTCTCAAACTTGTTAAACTGAATGCATCACTTTCATTACTAGCACAATCCTCTAATTCTCTGCCCCTCTAAAAGCTTCTCTTCCTGCTGTATTTTCTGACTTTGTAAATGGCACTCTTGTCTAGCAATTTAGATCAAAACCATGACTAGTATTAGATACTTTGCTCTCCATCAAATCTTTTTCAATCCTGTTACCCTACTGCTAACGACTAGTCCTGTATAATGTCAATGCTTGTATGACAGGCTGGATAGCTTAACCTGGATTTCAAGTTTGTGGGCAAGAACCAATGGAACTATGAAAAAATGGGCTGTATAAGGGGTATTAAGTACCACTCTGTTGAACTGTTCGATGAAACTGGCTTTAATGATCCAGAAGAAGCCTTACATTTGAATGCATTCTGTTCTTTCAAAACTGCTAACCAGTTTTCATGTTTACCACCACTTGCTGCTGCTGGAAAAATGTTAGGAGCTACTATGTTTTACTCATATCTTTGAATAATAGCAGCAGCACAAATCCCAGGATTCTCAAAGCAGTTCCAACCACAGCAAACCAAAAGCTAAATGACAGAGAAATGGGAAACAGATGTGTCTGGTTTAATAAAAAGGGGAAGGGTCATCAGGTGGCCATATCCTTTCCTTGTCATTAATATCCTCAACCTACAGATCCTTTCTACCCTTGTAAATCTGAATAAAGTCAAGGTTAGTTGGGTCAAAAACTGATGTTAATGATGATTAAAAAGAGATACAAAACTCAGCACCTCCTTCATTAAAAATAAAGGTTGAGAAACTTTATAAGAAAAAATTAAAATATTCTTGTAGCTGCCTGGGGAGTTCTTAAGCCTTCCACATAGACAGATATCCTCGTATCCACAGGAGGCCATGTGGACTACAACCAAACCGAGTCCATTACTCATTCCCTCTCCGGCTCTTCTTGTGGCTCTTCTTAGACCTGAAATGGCAACACATATAAATAATTACATTAAGGATCTGGGCAAGGACTCCTGAGAAGAACCTTGGCATGCTGACACTAATGGGGATGGAGCTAACAATCCATATTCATTAAACTACTTGGTGTTTTTTTGATTCGGAGCAACACTCTTGAATCAGGCATTACTATCCAAATTTTACCATTGAGGAAATCACCTCTCAGAGGTTAAGAGTGCACCCAAAAGTATGTGGCACATGGGGGTTTCTAAT